ATCCCCTTTAAACATGCCTATTGAATTCTTCGGAAGGTAGAGAGATTGGGGATGAAGGTGGAGAGGGCAAGAAAAGGAGGGGGAGAGACAAAGAGAGGGAATAATAGGAGTGGGAGAGAGAGATCGATTCTCCATCTACTGGTATACTTCCCGAATATGCACAACAGCCAGGACTGGGGACAGGAGGAAGCCAGGAGCCATGAACTCACCTGGATCTCCTACGTGGGTGGCAGGGGCCCAAGTATTCCAAATCATCAGGCACCTACAGCCTTCCCAGATGTGTTGGCAGGAAGTAAGAGCAGAAACGGGAAGAGCTGGAACTTGAACCGGCACTCCTATCCCGGGATGCTGGTGTCACACTGCAAGCGATAGTTTAACGTGTTCTAACTTATCACCAGCTCCAACTTGGGACCAATAGCGTCTCTTTCCTACCTCCCCCAAATTTTTACTAATTATGTTTATTGGAAAGGCAGAAAGATCTAAGGGCAGAAAAACTTACACATTCTTAAAAAAAAATTAAGGTTTCAAAGGATACCAACGTTTACTGTTATAAAAATTATGCTGGGGAAAGCTCTTATTTATTATTCATTAATGAAAACTGAGCTTACGATATGCAAACGTAATAAAACATCTTATATTATTTTTAAAAACATTTATTTTTATTGGAAAGGCAGATATAGAGGAGAAGAGACAGAGAGGAAGATTTCCCATCCGATAATTCATTCCCCAAGTGACCATAACGGCCGGAACTGAGTCGATCTAAAGCCAGGAGCCAGGAACTTCTTCCGGGTCTCTCACGTAGGGGCAGCATCCCAAAGCATTAGACTGTTCTTAACTGCTTTCAGGCCACAAGCAGGGAACTAGATGGGAAGTGGGGCCACTGGGATTAGAACTGGTGCCTATATGGGATCCCGGTACATGCAAGGCAAGGACTTTAGTCACCAGGCTATCACGCTGGGCCCCTCATATTATTTTTATACTAATTATTTGAAAACCCATATTTTGAAGTTGTAACAATTTTGATACAATATATACTATGTAGAAATGCATAGTCACTATATAGCATATAATGTTGCAAAAAACAGAGATGCATTTTTAGGAATAATCATAATCTTTTTCACATCCCAGCCAAGGCTGAAGACGCGACATGGCTAGGCGTTGTGAGGTGGAGAGTAAAGCCAGCACTTGATGTGCTAGTATCTAACATGGGTTTTAGTCTCAAGTTTCTCTATGTTTTCATTTCAGATTTATTTATTTTTATTGCAAAGTCAGATACGCAGAGAGGAGGAGAGACAGAGAGGAAGATCTTCCATCCGATGAGTCACTCCCCAAGTGACCACAACAGGCGGTGCTGAGCTGATCCGAAGCCAGGAGCTTCTTCTGGGTCTCCCACGCGGGTGCAGGGTCCCAAGGCTTTGGGCCGTCCTCCACTGCTTTCCCAGGCCACAGGCAGGGAGCTGGATGGGAAGCGGGGCTGCCGGGATTAGAACCAGCGCCCATATGGGATCCTGGCACATTCAAGGCGAGGACTTTATAGCCACTAGACTATCGCACCGGGCCCAGTTTCTCTATTTTTGATCCCTGCTAATGGCCTGGGAGAAGCAGTGGAGGATAGTACAAATCCTTGGGTGCCTGCCACCCATTCGGGAGATCAGGAAGCAATTCAGGTATCCCAGCTTTGGCGTAGCTGGCTGCAGCTGTTGGAGCTATCCGGGGAGTAACTCAGCGGGTAGCAAATATACCTGTTTTTTCTCTCTCTCTCCTTTTCTTTCCTTTTTCCTTATTTCTTCCCTTGCTCCCTCCTCCTTCCTTTGTAACTCTGCCTTTCGAATCAAAACAGAAATAATAATAAGGGCTGAAATGAGAGAAGGGTATTGTTTTATTTTGCACGTGTCTGGCTTAGTGGAAGAATTTATCTGCTTCTGCCTTGGGTCTCACAGAAAATTCTACTTTGTGCCTACTTGCAAAAAAAAAAATTCTTCCATTTGATGAACTCTTGCAGGCCTTTTGGGGGCCTCAAAGTGTGAGTCCCAGCTTTGCTTCCAGTTCCAGCGAGGCACCAGGTGATTTTGGCTCAAGCACTCAGGTCTCCGTCAAACACATGGGAGGCCTGCGTGAAACCTTCATGGAGCTCCTGGCTTCTGACTTTGGCCCAGGCCTCGCTTTTATGGGCATTGGGGGAATCTGTCTCTATTTCTTTGCTTTGAAATAAATGGAAGGGGCCCGCGTGGTGGCCTAGTGACTAATGTCCTTGGCCTTGAATGTGCCAGGATCCCGTATGGGTGCTGCTTCTAATCCTGGCAGCTCCGCTTCCCATCCAGCTCCCTGCTTGTGGCCTGGGAAAGCAGTGGAGGACGGCCCAAAGCCTTGGGACCCTGCCACCCACGTGGGAGACCCGCAAGAGGCTCCTGGCTCCTGGGTTCGGGTCGAAGCAGCACCGGCTGTTGCGATCATTTGGGCAGTGAATCATCAGACGGAAGATCTTCCTCTCTGTCTCTCCTCTCTGTATATCTGACTTTTCATTGATGCTAAATCTTTGAAAAAAAAAAAATAGAAGCTCTAGAAAAGTTAACTAAGGAGGAGGTGGAGCCCTGGAGAATGCTGTATCCAATGGGTGTGGCTGGCAGCAGGAGGCTGGATCCACAAGTGAAATCAAACATGAGCTGGAGCAAGCAGATGACTCCTAGGCAACAGTGACCCACCCATGGGAGGGGCCAGTACTGTCATGTAGCATGGTAAGCTGCTACTTGCCGATGCTGGTATCCCATTTAGGAGCACCAGATGGAGTCCCTGGCTGTTCTGCTTCCAAACCCATCTTCTTGCTAATGCATCTGGGAGACGGTCCAAGTTGGCCATGCCCTTGCTCATCCACATGGGAGACATGAATGGGGTTCCTACTGCGTCCTTTTAGGGGGATGGAAGACCTTCTCCCTCTCTCCCTCTCTCTCTCTCTCTCTGTCTGCCTCTTGACATTTCAAATAAACGCATTGAAACAAAAATGGAGTAAGAAAACCAATGGGCACCGAGGCTTTGAGCCATCCTTGATTGCCTTCCCATGCCACAAGCAGGGAGTTGGATGGGAGGTGGGGTTGCCAGGATTAGAACTGGTGCCCATATGGGATCCTGGCACATTCAAGGCGAGGACTTGAGCTGCTAGGCCACCGTGCTAGGCCCTGGTTTAGGGATTTAATAAATATCTGTGGACTAGATGAATGAATGAATAAATCAGCGACTTGTAGACTCAAAAAAAAAAAAACAAAAGACCAATGGGCACAACCAGAGGACATTGTTGCCCAGAATACTCAGATCTCTATGATGCTCCCTCCGCAGGCCCAAAAAAGCCAGAACAAGCACCCGAGCCGATATGGTCTGCACCTTCCACCCGGACCCCATGCTGAACAGAGTACGGCTGTACCGGGAGCTGAACCAGCTGACCCACTGGACCACTTCACTGGGCCCCTATACCCTGGACAGGAACAGTCTCTACGTCAATGGTGAGCCGCTCTGACGGTTTATGTGTCATCATGATACACTGTACGAACCATGCATGAAGAGTAATTACACACACACACACACACTACAGAGAAACAAACAAGGCTTGGGACTTTGGGAGGTCATGGGCAACGAGGAGGCGGCAGCGTGCTGATGATGGGCAGCGGTTCTCGGAGGGAGCCCTGGGGCAGGACTGTCGCCTGGCATTTTTTTTTCTTCCCCACACCCTGTCCCCAATCCCCTCCCATCATCTCTTTCTTCCCCTCTGTAGGTTGCAACTATCAGTCCAGGCCTCCCACCACGATCTGTGAGTAATGCCAGCCTTAAACACCCTGCTGCCCTGGGCCCCCACCTCCTTAAGGCCGTCCCCTTGGAGCACAGTAGCCCCCTTGCTCCGGGTTGTCAGCCCCGGGGACGACAGCAAGTTTCAGGTTGAGCCAATAGTATATGCAAGTTCCTGGTACCAACTTTGACCACAGCACTGCACATCAGGGCCACAGAATGTCTTATGTATATTTCAGGTCCCGTGACCACATTCCCTCCAGGGACCCCAACATCATCTGTGACCTCCACCTCCAAGGCTACAGGTAAGAACCTGATTTCTTGGGTGGACATCTGTGTGGTAGGTAAAGATACCACCTGGGAGGCCTCCATCCCATAACGTGATGGCTCCAATACTGGGGTTCCTGCTATCCATGTGGGAAAATGGTTTTGGCTTGACTTGGTCCCAGTCACTGTAGACATTTGGGAAGAGGGACAAGCTCTCTCCACCCATCACCTGTTGGGTATCTGTTTTTCAAACAAATCATGAACTTCAGCATTGGTAGCTGATCTGGACCCTGGTGCTCACCCACCCTCAGCCTGTGCACTCTGTCCCTTGCTTCTGTCCTCTCTGGCCACATCGGTCTCAATGCTGTTCCCTCAGGGCCCAGATTCTGTTCCCTCCAGCTTCAGAGACATTGCACCTGCTGTTCTTGAAACTCAGCTGTGCCGATTCCTTCTTCCCTCCTGTCTTCACTCAGCACGCTTTTGCCAAGGTCACTTTCTATCAAGTAGCATTTCTCTCCCTCCACTCCCAAACACAGCCTGCAAGTGGCAAGTTTCTAGTCTGTTGCATGGTCTTCGTTACTGTTTGGATGGCTGATATGCTGAGTTCCTGACCCTCAAGACCTGAGCATGGCGAAAGGGCTTGGCCCCTTGTCTTCTCTATGAAATGTGCCAGGCGTTGGCCACTCTGAGACTAGAGGTCTGAGATCCCCTATGGAGCTAAAGACAATGTCCATCTCCATCTTGGAGGACCGCCCCCCCCTTTCCTTGAGATGGCTGAAGAATAGCCCAGTTGGGACAATTCGGGCCCCACCCACTGAACAATATGGCCATTCTCAGACAGGGCTATCCCTGAACTCCACATCCAAGCTCAGGACTAAAATCCATGGCATCTCTCTCTCTCTCTCTCTCTCTCTCTCTGTCTCCTCCTGCTTTCCCTCCCAGCTGCAGGCCCAGAGCTGATGCCATTTACCCTCAACTTCACCATCACCAACCTGCGTTACACCTCAGATATGGGGTACCCAGGCTCCTGGAATTTCACTTCCACTGAGAAGGCCCTGAATCGCCTGGTAAGATCCTCCCAGGGCCCAGCCTGGCCCACCTCGCTCTTAGTCCGTAACCAGTATCGCGTCCCCCCACGCCACCCCGCTCCACCCGACCGACCTCCTTCCCTGCCCTCCTTGTAGCTGCGACTCTTGTTCAAGAACACCAGTCTTGGATCCAGCTACTCTGACTGCAGGCTGACCTGGTTCAGGTGAGACCTCCTGCCCTCATCCTACGCAGAGTAGCATGGCCATAGGTAAGCTCACTTAGAAGTGGGGTCCTAAGCGTGACTCCTAGAACCAAATCAAGCCTGGAAGCTTTCTCCTGCAGTTGACTACACCAGAGAAGGCTTTCTGGAAGAGGGGTCTTTCAAAGGGTTATAAAATTATTTGGATGAGCAGAGGCTGTGCATCATCCAAGGCCCACTTTCCAGGGAAGATGACGTTGATCCTTTAGCCAACAAGGTAAAGAAGGCGGGAGCCAGCTGAACAGGAAGCCATAACAGAAAGAGAATCGGCCTCACTTTTGAGCTCTACCCAGGGGCCCCAAGAGCCCAAGGAAAGGAATTTGGGGCTCTACCGGGGTTGGGCGGGGCGGGGGGGGGCGGTAGTTAGGTGGAGGCTGTCTTGGAGAAAGATGGCTGATCCAAACTTTAATGGCTGAGATATTTCCAAGTAGGAAATATCAGGGGCAACATCTCTGAGTAGTCCGAAAGATAGGAGACACACCCAAGAACAATCGCATCGCGTTGGACGGTAGAATAGGATAAACAGCAATGGAATGAATGAATGACAGCAGAAGAGAGGGAAGGATGGAGAGAGAAAGGAAGAGAGAAGGAAGGAGAGAGGGAGGGAGAGAGTGGGTGAGAGGACAAGAGCAGAGCAAGTGAGAGAGAATATGACATGGCAGGCTCAAGCTGGCAGGACAGTGGCAGACTGCTGAGTGGCACCGTCCTACGAGCCACGGATGAATTCCAAGTTGAATGGGTATCATGGAAAATTCAGGCTGGAATTGGGATTAAAAGCCACTGAGGCGAGTTTCTATAGAATCGTGCCCAGCAATGTTAAAAAGGTAGGCATTAAGGTTCCCGGTACCCAAACACATCCAGTCCCATTCTATCTGGCACCACACACAATGTGGCCTTGTTTCATTGATTATAAAACAATTCCTGTCAATAACTGTACTGTAGCTGTCCTGTAGACTTCAGACGTGCTGAGGGCAGTTTTTGGTGTTCTCACGCCTCCCAACTGTCACACAAAGTCACTCTGCGAGGCGATGGGTGTGTTTCTGGGATGGATGGCGGTAACAGCACCTGAATCTTCATAGTTGTTACAAATGGGACAGCAAATGTAAAATGTTGGGCTCCCATCAATCCCGGTCGTGATTCGTTCTGTAGGCAGCCGTGGAGTTGTCACAGGCAGGACCCTGACACGAGGGCATCGTTCATAAGAGCGCTGGTGACGGTGTCATGGTGGGATAGAAGATGGACGGACCGCTGTGGGGCTGGGCTGGACTTAAGAAGAGTTAAGAAGAGTCAGACGTGGGGAGAAAGAATACCAGGCCAGGGAGCTTCCGATCTGACACTGATACGGAAAGTTAGGGGAAGGAATAGGATACTGGGTGTGTGTTTTAAGATGATTTTTTTAAATGATTGATTTATTTATTTTAAATTTTATTTTATTTGGGATTCCCCTCCAACTCCCACCTCCCCTCCGACAGGTTTTCCCCATGTTGATACAATAGTATGGTCCTTCATAAGGAGTCATAATTCCATCAGTCTCTTATTTAAGTGTGCCCCGACATTGCTGGTATAAATAGTGTCAGACAGTCCGGCATCCCACTGTGTACACATGTCCAACAGTTTCATTGGGAGTCCATCTTTTGTGTGGAAGCAGCGATGCATGTTGCATTGTACCCCCACATCTGGACATGGTAGACCCCAGTACCCCATCACTATATATTTCCATAAATGAGAAGCCATGAAACAAGGTCAACAACTGGTACGGATTTGAACAATAGCCACCACCACCACCACCACCACCACCACCACAACAGGGTGCTGTGTTTTTAGGGGAGTGGATATGATGAGCTTGATTTGAGGTCTATGGAACCCAAGGGTCTAGAGGATTTCCCCAAGGCTGTTAGTCACATGAGGCAGAGCTGGGGAGAGAGGTCTTGTCTAGAGACTGGGTTTCATGGTAGCGGAAATGTTGAAATGATGCGTAGGAACCAACAGACCCAAGAAGAAGAAATAGAAGGTGGTTGAGAATAAAACCCTACAGATTGTTTTACAGAGTGGGGAACAAGAGAGAGGGTGAAAGTGCTGTGCCAGATTTTGAAATCCCCAGCAAATCATCAAGTCTGAAGTCAGGGCTAAGGCATAAAGGTGGTTTATTCAGGTTAGCCTAGGTCTCCCAGCCACCTCCCCCAGCCCAGCAGGGCTGGTGGGAGAGGGGCAGCCGCAGCAGAGGCTGCTGCAAGATCCGCAGGGAGAACAAAGGAGGGAGCCAGCGAGTGAGAGCCCCCCGGTAGAACAGCACAGCATTCTTATACATTTTAGGCTATGAATTATATAGTCATGATTTAGCAGGCTTCTGTTGGTGGGTTTGAGGCAAGCAACTTTCAAAAAGTACAAATGGATGAGCTAGAGGGCGGTGGATCTTATCAAACACCAGGTACCTCCTTCCTGAGGAGTGGTCTGCCAATGTGACCTGCCAGGTGTCCTGGAGTTCACACAGCCCCCAGCCAAGCCATTAAGGCAGGAACTACAAAAGGCAGAAAACATCTAAGTTCTTCGCAAGAGATCCCAGGAAGGAATGCATCTGAGAAGCCAGAGGAGGGGGGCGGGGAAACCTAAGAGAGATGTGCAGCCAAAATGGGACAAAATGGGATGGGGCAGCCCCGTTGGAGAAGTTGAACAAAGGTGTCTAACTCCCCCTGTCACTCCAGGCCAGAGAAGAACGGGACAGCCACTGGAGTGGACACGGTCTGCACATACTCTCCTCACCCCATGCACCCCAGTCTGCAGAGAGAGCAGCTGTACCGGGAACTGAGCCAGCTGACTGATGGTGTCACCCGACTGGGCCCCTTCACCCTGGACAGCAGCAGCCTCTACATCAACGGTGAGCACCCTGCAGATGCCCCGTATCTCCATCTACCACTGATTCTCGACAGCAGCAAATTTGGCAATTCTTTGTAAAGTAATCCCCTCTTCAGCGAACATGTCCTGGGTGTTGACTGTTTAGCACAGAGGGCAGCAGGGCCGCCCCCTGCAAAGCTGCTGAAACAGTAGCTCCAGGGTTTTGCTGGGTACCAGCACAGGTGTGGGGAGAACTCAAGCTTGCGTTAGGATTCTCATCCATCACTCTAGGTGGCGGTGCTCGTTTTGATAGACAGCTGTCACGCATTTGTGGAGAAAGAGTCTGTCCATGACCGTGCATGACAGAATGGAGATGCCCATCAAAGCCTGCAGACAGCTCTGAACTGGCTCCCTGCAGGCCACCAGACAGAGCAAGGCCACATCCCAGCTCAGGAAGGGCCGTTAATAGGCTGCAGTCTGCCATCCTAATTGAACGCTTAACTCGTTGTGTTGCTCTCTGTGTCCCTCTGGAACTTTCTTTTACATCCGGTTTGAAATTTATAAGTCCTAGTACGATCAACAGGACATGCTCGGCTGCATCCAGAGGTTAAGTTCTAGAACTGAGATCGATTTACAACACTGGCAAATCCTGTCGATCTTTTTAAGATTCATCTAGTTATTTAAAAGGCAAAATGACACTCACTCCTCCCGATGACTGCAGCCTGAACCCAGTGAAGCCAGAATCCAGGAGTCCAGAACTCTGTCCGGGTCTTCCACATTGGGTGGCAGGGCCCCAAGGACTTGAACTGTCTCTAGCTGAATAAAGGGGCTGGATTGGAAGTAGGGCTGGACTCCAATGGGCGCTCTGGTGTCCCAAGCAGGTATTTAACTCACAGGGCCTTGACACCAGTTCCCAGCCGTGTAGATCCGGTTTGGGTAACCTGTGGGGTTCTAGATGAACTATCCAACATTTGTAGACTTCCGTGTCCCATCTGTCAGACGCAATTAAAAACATCCAGCGGATGGGACCGTTCTGATGAGCAAAGGAGGCAATTGACCTTGCCCAGTCAAGGGCAAGGTGTTCTCCTTGGTCCTGTCTGTACTTGCCTAACCTGTTACACAGCCCTCAAGTCTCCCTTCCCCTTTTTCACCACTGTACTCCTTTTTCTCAGCTTTCCCTGATATCCCAAACCAACAGGAATTGCCCTAACTTCCGGTTCTCAAAAACATTTACCCTACATGCCCCCTACTGCTCAACTTACCACAATCCCATCAACTCAACATCACTCCCTCCTCACCCCCTCTAAAAAAGAAAGCGAAAAAGCAACTAGGCTTGTGGACACGGGGCAGCTGGGAAGGATGCTATCATAAAATCTAGGGAAGGAAGACATACAATTTCTTTTCTGGAGCCTCTGTTGTGGTACTGAGACCTGCAAGGTTAGCATCCCATATCGGAACATGGGTACAAGTCCTGTGTGCGTCACGTCTGGTCCCAGCTCCTTGCTACTGTACCTGGGAAAGCAGCAGAAGACAGCCTTAAGTACTGGGGTCCCTGTACCCACAGGAGAGATCTGGAAGGCTTTCCAGGCTCCTGGTTTCAAAGGCTGGGTGCAGCCCTGGCTACTGCAGGCATCTGGGGAGTGAGACGGTCGTGAGAAGATCATTTGTTCTCTTTCCCTAACACCCTGCCTTTCAAATACATAAGTAACAACTTGGCGGGGGGGGGGGGGGGGGGGAGGAAAGCTACTTCTCTGTGTGGACACATTAAGATTGGACATACACCTGTTGCGAAAGGCATTCTTTCATCTTTGCTACATGTAGCATCACCATGGGGACCTCCCGTGCTCCTGATGGATGCAGTCATCTCTTATCTATCTAAGGATAGTTTTTGCTTTGGTAATCATCACACCAATCGCAGTGCTCATTATGCCTGAAGGACAAAGCACAGGAGGCCACTGAACGTTGGTGAACCTCGGAAGGTTCCTTGATGATTTGTATTTCCGGTACTGCCCTCAGCCCTCTGGGTCAAAGTCCCTTCTAACTCTTTCTTCCCTCTCTACAGGTTACAACCCCGGATCCTGGACTCCTGCCACCAGCAGTGAGTAGTCAGTGCTGGCATAATGCCACAGGGTCCGTAGAATCCTTCCTCCTCCTCGGATAGAGCACTCCTGGGAAGAGGCCCTGCAGCTCCTCCCCTCCCTCCCTCCCTGCTGCCTCATGCCCCCCCAAACAGCCCCAGGGTCCTTCTGAGGTCTTGATCTCAGCCCGAATTCTTTATTTTATCAAAAGATTGATTTTATTGCTATTGCAAAGTCAGATATCCAGAGAGGAGAAGAGACAGAGAGGAAGATCTTCCTTCCAATGATTCACTCCCCAAGTGGCCGCAACGGCCGATGCTGTGCAGATCCCAAGCCAGGATCCAGGAACTTATTCCAGGTCTCCCACGCAGGTGCAAGGTCTCCAGGCTTTGGGGCCGTCCTCGACTGCTTTCCCAGGCCACAGGCAGGGAGCTGGATGGGAAGCGGGGCTGCCGGGATTAGAACCGGTGCCCATATAGGATCCCGGGGCATTCAAGGACTTTAGCCGTTAGACCACGCCGCCGGGCCCTGTCTGTTTTTTTTTTTTTTTTTAAGATGTATTTTACTTTCATCAGAAAGTCAGATATACAGAGAAGAGGAGAAACAGAGAGGAAGATCTTCCATCCATTGATTCACTCCCTAAGCGGCCACAATAGCCAGAGCTGAGCCAATCCGAACCCAGGAGCCAAGAGGCTCTTCTGGGTCCCTCACGCAGGTATAGGGTCCCAAGGCTTTGGCTCGTCCTCGACTGCTTTCCTAGGCCACAAGCAGGGAGCCGGCTGGGAAGTAGAGCCCCTAGGATTAGAATTGGTGCCTATATGGGATCCCGGCAGGTGCAAGGTGAGGACTTTAGCAGCTAGGATATAGCACCAGACCCCATGCCCTTTTTGTCTTTATGGGCTTTTATGCAATTTATTTGGAAAGAGAAAGACCCGGCTGAGGGGGTGCTGGCCTGTTGGGCTCAACTCCTCTGCCTGGGTCCTCAGGAGTTATCTTAGGGCCCCTTCCAGGCCTGCCTCACGGGTGGTCTCCTTTTCTTCTCTCCCCTAGCTGCAGTGCCTCTGATGGTCACTTTCACCCTTAACTTCACCATCACCAACCTACAATATGAACAGGACATGCTGCTCCCGGGCTCCCGGAAGTTTAACAGCACAGAGAAGATCCTGCAGGGTCTGGTAGGCTTCATCCAGTGAGGCTAGCTCCCACCCACTAATGCAAACCCCGCCCACAATGTCCCGACCCCGCCCCCCCGGTGCCGGCCCCACCCACCTCATCCAGGCAGGCCATAGCGCATGGTACCAGCTCCTCCCAGGACACCCCTGTTTCTTCCATACCACAAATGCCCTCCCTCAGCCTCCTTCCTCCTCTGCTTCTCTGTCGTTCCTCACAGCTCACACCTTTGTTCAAGAAGAGCAGCCTGGGACACCTCTACTCTGGATGCAGTCTGGTGTCGCTCAGGTGAGCCCTTGCCCAATGAAGCGGGATGGGCCGAGGGCTCTGGGTACCCTGACCCTGCCCATCCTGGCAGCTGCTGCTTCCCCGTGGACACTCAGCATCAACAGTGAGGGCAGCAGCCAGTGTTGGCTTCCTGAGAGATGGGGATGGGGGGGGGTCTCCTTGGGGGACACCAGCAAGCTGCCTTGCCACCTTCCCAGTTCCTGCAGCACAGGCTGGCAAAGGAGATGGAAGGATGGAGGGACAGTTGGACTAACCACGGGAGGTTCTTGTCCAGGTCCGAGAGGGACGGGGCGGCCACCGGAGTGGACACCATCTGCAGACATCGCCCTGACCCGGAAGGCGTGGGACTGCACAGGGAGGAGATATACTGGGAGCTGAGCCGGCTGACACACGGTGTCACTTCTCTCGGACACTACAGCCTGGACAGGGAGAGCCTCTGCGTGGATGGTGAGTAGCGGAGGTGTGGTTAGAATTCCGTCCTCCTGGGCAGCCTGCACGCGCTGCCTGGTCGGTGCAGGCTCCGCCATGCGTGCTGTGTACGTGTGTGGATTCAGGTCTGCAGCTCGTGGATTTTTTGCCTCCTCTGGGGGCTGACTTCAACCTCTTCCCTTCTTCCTCACTGTGTAGGGTTCTGTTAGAGATTTTCCCCTGGGGTCTCTGCTCCATGAAAACCCCTTGGCTTCACCCCCTCCCCCCTACCTCTCTCACGTGTTCGCGACCCACTGTCCTCCCTTCCTCTCGCTGCAGGTTTCGCGGGCAGGAATTCGGCCACCACAGCCAACAGTGAGTACCCACATGGTGGCCCCGTGCCCTTTCAGCATCCCTCCCCAGGTGGGCTGGGAGCTGTCCCGAGAAGCCCAGGTCTGTCCTAGGTTGCCCCATGAATAATCCCTCCTCCTGGTATAAATGCATATATAAATATATATATATAAGAGTGTCTTGGCCCTGTCATCAATGAGGGCTTCTCCGTAGCTCCCGAGACCTCCACGGGGGACCTGGGAATGTCTGGGCTTCAATCCTCCTCTCCTGTCCCTGTGGGTAAGTACCAGAACGTGGCATCCCTGTGAGAGGGCCACCCCCCTCCACACACACACACACACAATGATATTATTCATTTGTTGAAGATGCAAAGTCATGACTAACCCCAAGGATCCTGACTCAGCCGACAGCCTTCGCTCAGCTCTGGGCTGGACCCTAGGGACACAGCACACAGACCACAACAGAGGGAGCTTAGATTACTGTGACTTTGATGAAGGTGGTGGTGAAGAGAATGTTGCTGCTACAGAACGTGGTTAGAAGCAATGATGAAAGTATTACATTTAGCAATGATGATGACTTCCTGTTGCTCTGTTGAATTCGTTTGGCCCTTTATAAAGGACAACGGTTTATTCAGTTCGTGGGTTTTTTTTTTAAAGATTTATCCATTTTTATTACAAAGTCAGATATACAGAGAGGAGGCGAGACAGAAAGGAAGATCTTCCGTCCGATGATTCATTCCCCAAGTGAGCACAACGGCCAATGCTATGCCGATCCGAGGCCAGGAGCCAGGAACCTCCCCCGGGTATCCCACACGGGTGCAGGGTCCCAAGGCTTTGGGCCGTCCTCGACTGCTTTCCCAGGCCACAAGCAGGGAGCTGGATGGGAAGCAGAACTGCTGGGATTAGAACCGGTGCCCGTGTGGGATCCCGGCGTGTTCAAAGCGAGGACTTTAGCCGCTAGGCCACGCCGCCGGGCCCAGTTCATGGTTTTAAAGATCTAAGATCAAGAGCCCCCAGTCGGTGAAGAAGACTTTAGCTTTTCAGGGTCCTGTGTGGCCACACACACAAAGAAATGTGAGTGCACCAGCTCAGTTCTCCCCTCTTCTTCCTCACGCCCTTATTTAACCCCTATCTGCAAATCCTATCCCCAGATGACTCTGGGGCTTAAGGACTCTGGGAGACACACCCAAGCCACAGCAGTGGTGGTACTGATGGAAATGATGATGATGGTTATTAAAGAGATTAGAGACCATTACCAAATATGTACCAAGTGTGTACTCAGAGCTACGGTCTATGGCTAACTGTGTGATTGGCTATGTTTTTCTTTATGAGAAAACAAAATTTCCTTTTGTTATTATAAAATTGTCATCTTCGACGAGGCATGGGAAACTTCCACTTTATCACTCATTTTAAATCCCGTTGCCTATTTAAAAGTCAGTCATGAAAACCCACACGTTTGCTCAGCTCATTTCTGTTGATCAGCTGTGACACTGCTTCGTGATTCTGAGCTGTCTACCCCAGCACCTTCTTGCGGTAGAGCGACAGGGTAACAGATACTAGCATCCACCTTTTATTTTTCCTGAACAATTACAGTATCTTCAGCAACACAACATCCCTCCCCCGGCCCAGGGCACCTGCTACCAAATGTCACACGATTCTAGACTCGCTTGGGCACAGACGGTCTTGGTTTTCCAGCAGGCATGTGTGGGTTGAAAGGCTGACAGCTTCACTTTCTCTATTATTGATTATTATTATTATTATTAATTACATTGCATTATGTGACACTGTTTCATAGGCTCTGGGATTCCCCCAGCCCCTCCCTGTGCCCTCCCCCCATGGTGGATTCCTCCACCTTGTTGCAGTATTACAGTTCCAATTGAGTCAAGGTTCTTTGTTTGCAAACATATACCAAGCATAGAGTCCAGTATCTTATTGTCCAGATAAAGTCAACGTTTTCTTGGGGAGACCATCTCTGGTCTGAAGGCAGAGCGGGCAGAATATCATCCCGATCAATTAAAAGCCCAAACACAACATCAACAACCATTTACAACATTATGGAATTCATTGACATGGTATTGAGTAACCAATATGTTAAAAAAAAAAATGCAAGTTCTTAACCACACCCTGAGACTACTTCGTTGACATTTCAATTTTAGTTTATACACAGAACCGGCTGTTATACACCTTAAAATGACTATAGGGTACTCTTCAGCTGTCTCGTGTCTATTTCCATTTTAGTATTTAGCAGTTTCTAGTGCTGAAGCATCGTTTTGCTAAACTTGGCAGATCTTAGGATAGTCTAAACTGGCTTGTAAGTCTAACAAGGCATATATCAACAGTTGAGGTGCAGGAGAGTTTTAGGAGGGGCGTGCAGAGAAATCTTCAACGCCTGAGTGAGGAGTGACTCATCTTCGAGACAGCTCCACTTGCCAAGTGCCCCTTGTTGGTTTGGAGGCAGCATGGGTGACGATGGGGGCGAGTAGGGTGGAAGGAAGCCATGCGAATTCTTCACCTCTCTGTGGGTGCTTTTATAGAGCCCCTCCTTCGGGAGCTGCGTCTCCTCTGTGCCCTGAGCCATCCCTGACTTAGGGGCCACTCCATTGACCCCTTGTCCCTCAGGCCTCGGGGACTGCGGGCCGCTTCATTATGTTCATGTTAGCCGTTCAGGTGTTTTTCAAGCTATTATCATACGCCCACGGTCGAGGTAGCTGATGCGATCTTTGTTTTCTTAGCTTGGACACGCGTGTCCCTGCGTGATGGTGCCTTGTAACCAGGAACAAAGGACTTATGGTTGTTAACGAGGGCCCCTAAGCACGAGTCTGGTCACAGCACCAGGCCAATCTGGGGGAAGTCCTCAGAGGCACTTTTAGGCAGCCGCAAATCCAGAACTCTTGGAAGAAGGACGAAGTGAGAAAAGGCAGCTCGGTAGGACAGTGTGCAGCTAGCTCCTTGCCAGGTGGAGCCCTCTGGAGGAGAGAATCGGAACTCACGTGTGTGTGTGAGATTCTGGAGTTGCATGGACCGAACCCGTCCCCTGCCTTTCCAATTGCAGCCAGGAGCGCTAATCTTGCTCCCAGGCCCTCCCAAAGCAGGTTTCTGTATCACCCACCAGCTAGGAGCAAGGCCTTGCGGGAGCCAGCATCATGACTGTCCCACTAGGCGCCCACATACCTGTTCGTGTTTCCCAAGGGCGTTCTGACCATTGACCACTCAGGCCGCCCGCACCTGCCCTGGAAATCTCAGGTGGAAGGTTAGGAGCACAGATGCTGGGAACACAAAGCCCAGGTCGCAAGCAAGCACACTGTCGAATACCCTTTGGCTCAGGCTGCTTAAGAGGGATAATATCCCCGTTATTCCTTCTCTGAAGCAATGATCCGATTGTAAGTGGACATTTTAGAACAGAGTCTGATGTAACAACAAAAAAAATGTAGTGAAATTCACTGGGAAGTTTACTTTGGTGCAAAAAAATTCTTTGCAACCCCTGTGTAGTATTTTTACAATAGCCCTTGTCCTTGAACTCTCTGACAACCCCTCATCTGCATAGAATTCGATATTCTTTTTGGCGCCCGAATACGCATCTTTTAATTCCATTTTCCACAAACCTTTGCGATGATTTCCCAGCCCCCTGCGCTACAGCGCAAGCTCTCACACTTGTGCCCAGCGCCCCTCAGATAAATGCTGATGCGTGTGTGTGTGTGTGTGTGTGTGTGTGTGTGTGTGTGTGTTCCCGTCTGAAGATTCACAGCGGTTATGCCTTCTGCTCAGGTGCGCCAAAAGCTAAAACACCATGTCTCCCTCCCGCTCCCCACTGCAGGCACTGCCCCGTTCCTCGAGGTACCCTTCACCCTCAATTTCACCATTGTGAACCTGCGCTACGGGGCTGAATTGAGTCGCCCTGGCTCCAGGAGCTTTAAGAGGACAGAGAAGATCTTGCAGAAACTGGTGAGAGCTTCGCCCCACCATGCCCTGCCCATCCCTGCAAGCCCCGCCCACCTCACCTAGGCCACACCCATGAGGACAAATCCCCCTCCCCTCTCCCACGGATGTCAGAGCCGTGCTCACCTCACTGGCCCTGTCCCGACCCCCTGAGGCTTCTCCTTTGACCCACCCCCACCTCCTTTTCTCTCACAGTTTGGGTATTTGTTCAGGAACACCAGCATCGGTGCCCGGTACTCTGCCTGCACACTCACCTCGCTCAGGTGAGAGACCACGGGAGGCTCCCTCGTCGGGGCTGCCTCAAGTGCTTCCCCACCGCCCTCCCTCCCCAGGACTGTCCTTGGCACTGATGAACATGTAGGATGCCCCTAGAGTCCATCGGCATCGCTGGCCTCTAGCTCCGCCCTGCCTTCCATACGCCCACCTTCCTTTGCGTTTTGCAATTCTCTTGAGAGGAACATGCCTTCTCCCCTTGTGTGGATGTTGAATGCCAGCTCTTACCTCTGAGCCATGAACTCCCTGGACAAATGCCATGAGTCTGCGGGCAGTGTACAGTCCCATGACTCACTAGCTTCCTCCCCTACCATCCATCTATCTGCTCTTTCGCCAACCTCAGTCTTGCCCCAACTTCATATGGTTAGGAAATCCAAGCCTAGTTCTTGGATCCCCTTGGTCCTTGCTTCTCGGGATCCCGTCCCTGGAAAGTTTGATGATTGCGGCCACTTTTCATGCCCTCCCCAGGTCGGAGAAGGATGGAGCAGCTACAGGTGTACACTCCATCTGCACCTACCGCACCAACCTCACGGGCCATGGACTGGACAGAGAGCGGCTGTACTGGGAGCTGAGCCGGCTGACCCATGGCGTCACCAAGCTGGGCCCCTATGCCTTGGACCAGGCTAGTCTTTACGTCAACGGTGAGCAGTGGCTGCCAGTGCTTTGCTGTATGGTCAAGCCCACAACCTCCGCTTCTGTGCCTCTACCTCCCTTGAGCAACCCCTTCCTCACCTGTTCTCTGTACGTGTGTCTGCAGGTTACACCCACCAGACCCTGGCCACTACCCCTACGAGTGAGTACTTTGAGGGTTCCTAATCCCCTGCCCCCTTCTACAAAGTGCAGTCCTATTTCTTGAGAAGAGATTGGGCCCCTGTGCGTGCACTCTCTACCCCACTCCTAGACCCTTCTTGCCTTGGGTTCGGTCATCCCATCTCCAAGGCGACGTGGTCCCCGCCCTAGACACCTGCTTTTTTCCTTCCTCCCAGCTTCCATGGTGGCCACCCTGTCTTCAGAGATGTTGATCTCCTCACCATCAGCAGCTGCCAGTCCTGCACTGGTCCCCTTCACCCTCAACTTCACCATCACCAACATGCCCTACATCGAGGACATGCAACCCGGCTCTGCCAAGTTCAACTTCACACAGTCAATCCTACAACGCCTGGTAGGAACCCCCCTGCCACCTGCTTCCCTCTCTCTTTACTGACTTCCTCCCACTGGCCTCTTTGGGTCCCCCTGTGAGAATGCTGGCTCATCTGGACCATTCAAAACTTGGGGTGGGAGTGGGCGTTCGGCACAGATGCAAGATGCCCGTATGTCAGAGAACCTGGGCTTGTGCCCCAGCTCCACTTGTAATCCCCACTTCCTGTTAATGCAGAAGGTGCCAGGCAACAGGTGATGGCTCCAGGAGCTGGGTTCCTGCTACCCACATGGCACATCCAGAGGGTGTTTCTGGATCCTGGCTTCCGTCCTGTTCAGCCCTGGCAGTTGTAGGCATTTGTACAAGCCCCAATAGGGATGCCCACACCAATAGATTTTCATCTTCCAAAAAGCACCATATTCTCATCATTTTTTAAATGACATCTTTGTGAACTGTTTAAGGGATATGGGATGTACGTCAAGGTAATCAGCATTTTGATCTCTTCCTCAAAGACAGCCTGTCTGCAGGTTCGGGAACCTTCGAGCCCTTCTCCTCTGGTTATCTATAAATGGCGTCGTTTTTGTAGATTATGGATGCCCTGTCGCCCCAAGGAATCCAGAACAAGGGTGATTCTGACATTTACTTGTTCTGTCTTTACGCGTCCTCAGCTAAGGGACCTGTTCACCACCAGCAGCCTGGGCCCACTTTACACTGGATGCAGACTGGCCACCCTGAGGTGAGCCTTCCCCCCCCCCCGCCCCCGTGTCACCTGCAGGAAGTACAGGAGGGAGTGGGCCGGGGAGGAGGTTGGCCAGGCCCTGGAGTCAGTGAGATGGGGCGGAGGGCGGGGCGTGATGTTCAATGACACCGTACGCTCAGTTGCCTTCCATTCCTGCATTTTGTACAACCCTGAAAATGATGATACCGCCTTAAATGCTGTGTTAGCCTCATCTTGCTGCTAGGGTTAGTTTGGGATGGGCAGGGGGCTCATGAAGTCACGTCACATCCTATTAGACCCCCAAAAAGGCCCTCATTCATCACCAAGGATGAGGACAGGAACCAGTATGTCAGTCAGTGGGACCTTGGACACCTCACCTTGGCAAGAGCCCTCTCTCTCACATCTTGGGTGACCCTCTCCGAGGCGAGAAGATGAGACCTCACTGGATAGATGAAGGAGTTTACTGTGACTTGATACGCCCATGTCCCAAAGAGGGGCCAGCACCTCCCTGAATAACAGGATCGCCACACCAAGGACAGCCCAGTGACTTTCTGCATGGTGCTCAGGTTCCCTGATGGCCTCCCAAGCAAAGGCAGATGTAGGTCATCAACCTGAGGTTCCTCCCAGCCTATGCAACACGGCCAGGGAAGGTAACTGATACTGCACCTCTCTCAGGGCAATCCAGCAGACCCCAGCTACAGCTACAGCCCGGCTCAAGGTCGCTTCCCTCCTGCTGAGATACAAGGGGCAGTCCGTTTGCCATCAGTGCTTATAGTCTGTTGGTCTCGCCCCTGCCACCTCCCCTCCACGGTTGCCCTCGCTTGTCCTGGTGCCCTAGAGAGACAACAATGGAGCAGGCAGATGGGCAGTGAGTTCAGGCCTATCTCTTTTCTCATGCTCAGATGTTGATGTCCAGAAAGTAACACCTGGGCTTAACTCCCCAAGATCAAAAGGATCTCTCTTCGCAGAGGTGAAAGTCTAGTCTCACCAGGGGCTGTGGGTGCCCTCTGTGCACCTGAGCAAAGCATTAAAGAGGATCTTCAATGCACCCGGACCCTGCGCTAAATGTTTTAACATCAACTCTTTGTGAACCCTTGACCTGGCATCCAAATGGTGACAGCGTTATCCACACCGCACACACGTGCTCCTTACCTGGCCCACAATGGCCGATTAACAGGCATCCACAAGCAAGGGGCATGAGTGAGGGGAGAGGGTCCCCCAAAACGATGTTTCTGGGTGCTCTCTCCATCCCCACATCCTTACCTCCTTAGACCTGAGAGAGGTGGAACGGCCACCGGAGTGGACGCCATCTGTAGCCACCATCCCCATCCTGCGGGCCGTGGACTGGACAGGGAGAAGCTGTACTGGGAGTTGAGCCAGCTGACTCATGAGGTCTCCCGGCTAGGCCCTTACATCCTGGACAGAGATCACCTCTACGTCAACGGTGAGTGTCTGATGGCCACGGGGGTCCCCCTTCTTGCCACTCCAGGTGCATTCTGCTGTTGAGCTGATACGCATCACATCTGTTTGCTTTTAGGGTTTTCCCTGCCTTCCCTTCCTTTTTGGGGGGGAATTTGCCCTTCCCTGCTCTAAGAGAAAGAAGGTGGGAGAGCAAGGTTGTAGGAGGTGCCAGCCACCCACTGTCTTGATAGGAAGTCACCTCTGAGCCCAGGCTGCCCCTCCAAGTCATTCTGACAGCATCTGTTTTCACACTAACAGCCCAGTCCCTTTACCCTGCCCCGAGCCACCTTCCAACAGCCCCCTTGCTCTTGCCCCTGCAGGTTACACCAGGCCACTCTTGACCGCTGTCCCCAGTGGTAAGTGTTCAAGCCATAGATGGCCCCAGGACTCCCCAGCCCTGTGCTGGGGAGCTGGTATCTCCTTTTACCACGTGCAGAGGCAGGAAGCCTGGGTAGTGGGAGAGGCTGGTCATTCACACAGCCCCACCTCTCTTACCAAGCACCCCTGTCTCCACCTCCAAGTTGATGAAACTGCATTGTAGCCCTTTATCCTGTGTTTCCTCTTCAGCCGCAGTGGTCCACCCTTTGGGAATATCAACTGCTACCACCTCCTCCTCTGGCCCCACAGGTAGGCATCATCCACTCACCTGCTCTCCTTTCTCCTTAACTCCACGCTTCTCTGGTAAGCAATGAGAAGGGCAAAATAGAGTCTGCACAAGTAGGTCCGGGCGTGAAGACAAGACAGGGTGGGGAAATCTTGGAGGATGTACCCTTCTGATACACACCAGTGCAGCCTGCTCTTCAGGACTGCAGGATGTCAGTCCCAGACTAAGGGCACAACGAAGAACCTCTGCATATATTGGATTGCAACAGCCGTTTGCTACTGTTCACTGCTGTGGACGTCAGCTGGGAGCAACTGTTTCCCTAGGTCGATGCAGTCACCTGCAGGCCAGCTCGCCTCCACGTGGGATTCCTTCTTCCCACAGGCTGGCTCTGCCTTGTGCAAATGGGGGCCACAGATTCATTCGCAGCAAGAGAGGGCGAGTGACTATGTCCGGAGTGATGCCTAGCCCATATTGGCCTAGCCTCCACTGGCCCAAGCCAGTCAGGGCCAAGCTGTAGCTAAGAGCTGGGAGGGGACTCAACAACAGGCTGGTGCACAGTGGGCGGGGCCTCAACACCACAGGCAGGTGCACAGTGGGAGGGGACTCAACATCACAGGCAGGTGCACAGTGGGTGGGGCCTCAACATCACAGGCAGGTGCACAGTGGGAGGGGCCTCAACAGTACAGGCTGGTGTACAGTGGGCGGGGCCTCAACATCACAGGCAGGTGCACAGTGGGAGGGGCCTCAGCATCACAGGCAGGTGCACAGTGGGCGGGGCCTCAACAACACAGACTGGTGCACAGTGGGCGGGGCCTCAGCATCACAGGCAGGTGCACAGTGGGCGGGGCCTCAGCACCACAGGCTGGTGCACAGTGGAAGGGGCCACAGCAGCACAGGCAGTTGTGTGCAGATAGAGGAGCAGGAATAATTTGCAGTGGCTTTTACAATCTCTCCCAAGTAACCTCCCAGGAGTTAGCTAGTGACAAGGACCATCTGTCTTTGGGTCTTAGGCACTTGAGTTCACTTTCTCTTACAATGGAAAGAAAATAGTCAAGGGCAAAGCCGGGACACATTCCCAAAGAGCAGAGTCTGATGAGGCTGTGAATAGTCCCAACAGCGATGCAGAGATGGCAGTCTTCTGCACCAGGGAGCCTGCTCTGCAGCTCCAATCCCATAGAGACGCTGCACAGGATTTTTCCATGTTAGGGGTGCTGGAGAGCAGCTCAGAGCTTTTCCCAGGTGACTCAGCCAACAGGTGGGCAAGATCCAAACCTAGTCTAGTCTAAGGCTTGAGCTTCTGCCCTAAAATAGCTGTGATGATGCTTACAGGATGTTGTTTTTTATTCTAGGAGAAGCATTTTGAGCTCATGTTCCAGATATGAACCCCCTGGACACAGGGGAAGTGGGATCCAGCCTCCCCCCAATCTCTCACACCCAGATCGAGATAATCATGACCCCACGTGTGACTTTTTTTTTAATTTCCTCTCCAGATTTTCCTATAGGGGCCAGCCCAACCCTGACGCCCTTCACCCTTAACTTCACCATCAGCAACCTGAGTTACGTGGAGGGAATGCAGCGCCCAGGCTCTAGGGAATTCAACAGAACAGAGAAAATTCTCCAACGCCTGGTAGGTGCCCTGCCCACATCATCCTCTTGTCCTGCCTACAGAGGCCAACCCCGCCCACTGAATCCCAGTCCTGCCCTTGACCCATTCAGATCTACCACTCCTCTCCCTCTTCACAGCTATGGTCCTTGTTCAAGAGTAGCACGCTCGGCCCCCTCTACACTGGCTGCAGACTGACCTTGCTCAGGTGAGTCCTTGGGGGAAGATGGTCTGGCCAGGTATGCCAGTGCCGGAAATCCATAAGCAGGCGAGGGGATAGGGCAGCAAGTCACACCACATACAACCTAACTTTCCCTACGATGCTCTCTCAATGGTCTCAGGAACCTTCATCCTGTAGGTCCCTGTGGTCTCCTGTCCCTCCATCCTGTCCTCCCTGAGCCTGGGGAAGATGAGGTAGCCATCACAGGATCTAGACATCCCTGCTGGGTGTCGCCTTCGCTGCAGCTTCCCCTCCTTCTTCCTCCAAAGACTCTCAGAACCCCTTTGCAGGATGTTCACCACACCTCATTTTCTTCTCCCGTTCTTCCCAGGCCCAGGAAGAATGGGACAGCCACTGAAGTAGGCGCTGTCTGTACCTACCGCCCTGATCGCATGGGCCCCAAACTGGACAGAGAACAGCTGTACTGGGAGCTGAGCCAACTGACCCAGGGCATCACCCAGCTGGGCAACTACACCCTGGACCAGGACAGCCTCTATGTCAACGGTGAGCAGTCACCATCCATACTTTGCCCTTCTCTGTCTCCTTGAAGCTGTCTCCAGCTCCCAGCAGCTCCTCTCTCTCCTTCCCTCCACTCTGCAGGTTACACCCACAAGACTGCAGCATCCATTCCCACAGGTGAGTCTTCAGTGACACGCGCGATGCTGCCTCCGCTAGGAAAGGATGTAACTGGTCCCTGGCTGCATTTCCAGCTGTCAGGGCTGGGAGGAGCTGGGGTCATGGGGGGAATCAGGGCAATAGGAATTATCTGTTGATTCTTTCTCCACTCTCAGGCCTTGAGAGATACCACTAACTGTTGGATACAGCATATAGGGGAAGGGATGAATGTAGAAGAGCTTGTGAAGAAGTCAATGGAAATTCAGACTCACACTGTCCCTTCCCAAGCGTGTAGCTTCCGAATCGTTTTCTTCTTCCCCTGCAGTGTGTGTGTGTGTGATGCTCCGATGTCCCTAACTGATGCTTCTAAGCAGCAGAGCCTAAGGACCCGCCCATCTTTACTAGGGTCTGCAGTAGGGTGGTGGTCCCTCGGGCACAGTCTGCCCCCTGCTGTTGGTCCAGGGTCTGACTGCTCTTCCTCCTCCCCGCTACAGCCACAGCACCATCCCTGGTGCCGTTTACCGTCAGCTTCACCATCACCAACCTGCCCTACACAGACGACATGCAGTCCTCAGGCTCCTGGAAGTTCAACAGCACGGAGGAGGAGCTGCAGGGCCTGGTGAGAGCCATGCTCGCTGCCCACCCGCTGGTGTCACCCTCACTCTTGCCCCACCCACGGGTGATGCCAGCCTCGCCCATGACTCTTGGCCCTCCCACATGGATGACCAACCCCGCCCAGCAACAATGATTCTCACGCCTTCTCCCCTGCTTCTCCTCTTAACCCCTTGACAGCTTGGCCCCCTGTTCAAGACCACGAGCATCGGCCCCCTGTACTTGGGCTGCAGAATCACCTCGCTCAGGTAAGACGTGGGGCGACTCAGCCCTTCTTGTGAGCACTGCAGCTGCAGTTAAGGGGGTACTGGCTCCAGCACAAGGGTACCTCCTTCTGCTTTCAGTCTGCCCCCCTGCTCTCAGATTCTGCAGGTCCATCAGCACGCTGGATCCTGATCCCGGCTGCCCCTCTCTGCACTCCACGCCTTCTCCTCTCCTTTCAATAAGACAGGCATTGCTTCTAGATTCTCAAGGGTGTCTGCGGGAGTTCTCTCAAGATGAACTTGTCCTTCTCCGTGTGGGTCAGTCCCCAGCTCCAGCAGCACCCTAAAAGGAGACGCTCTCCAATTCCTAGGTCTTGAGCCTGCAGATTCTGCATATGCCACTTTACTAATACTAACCCCCACCTCACTTCCTGTGCACACGGTCTTGGGGTTGTCAGAATCAGAGACCATCAGTTCAGCTCTGTCCCCGGCTTCTCGTCTCCTCTGCCCCATTGCTGTCTAGGACCTTTCCCCAGGGGAATGAATTTAATTGTCCTCTGTTAACCTGCCCTTCCCAGGCCCAGGAAGAACGGGACAGCCACCGAAGTGGGCGCTGTCTGCACCTACTGCCCTGACCGCAGGAGCCCCAAACTGGACAGAGAGCGGCTGTACTGGGAGCTGAGCCAACTGACCCAGGGCGTCACCCGACTGGGCAACTACACCCTGGACCAGGACAGCCTCTATGTCAACGGTGAGCCACAGCCATTTGTGCTCTGCTCTTCTATGAAAAAATTTTAAAAGGATTTTATTGATTTGCCAAACGGTTATAGAGAGGGGGAGAGGGAGGCCTCCCATCCATTGGCTCACTCCCTACGTGGCCACAGTAGCCAGCACTGGGGCCAGGCTTAAGGCAGGAATCAAGAACTTTATCGAATCTTCCACAAGGGAGCAAGAGCCTAAGAACTTGGGCCATCTTGTGTTGCTTTCCCAGGTGCTAATGCTAATGCAGAGAGCTGGGCTGGAAGTTGAGCAGCTGGGCCTCGAACCAGCACCCATATGGGCTGCCAGCATTGCAGGTGGCAGCTTAACCCATTATGCCACCATGCCAGCCCTTTTAAGCCTTGTCCGCCACCTAGCACCTCATCTGTCTCACCTCCTCTCCCCTGTGCAGGTTATACCCACCGGAGCACAGTATCCAGCCCCAGTGGTGAGTACCCCAGAACACCTAATCTAAAACTGGGGAGGGGAGATTCAGCTTCTGGCCACATTTCCAGCTGTCAGGGAGGGTGGGACAGGCCACGCGTACAGTAACAATCAGCTGGCTGCTGCGGGCCATTTGTTATCACTCTGTGTGTGTGAGTTGATGGAGCCATGTAGAAGAACAGTGCAACAGAAGCGCCACAAACGAGAACCCCCACTTGCCAACAGCCTCTAAACTTGGTGATTTCCAGAATATTCCCTCTCTCACTGGCAGCCATGTAATGCTCTTGCATTGCTATCTGCTATCTCTGGGTAGTAGGCCCTAGGGAGACTCAGCTCTTGCTAGGGTCCCCAGGAAGTCCCCTGTCTGGCCCTGCCTGGCCCTGCCTGGCCCAGGGTCCATCTCCAGCCTGACCCAGGATGGTCCCTCTTTTCCCTCCCTCCCTCGGCTCTAGCGCCGGGACCACCCTTGGTCCCATTCACTCTCAACCTCACCATCACCAACCTGAAGTATGTGGACGGCATGCAGCCTGCAGGCTCCTGGGAGTTCAACATCACCGAGAAGGCCCTGCAGCGCCTGGTGAGAGCCACATTCCACCCACTGGGCCGGCGCTGCATGAGACATAATTGCCCTGCGTGCTGTTGCCAGCCCCGCCTGTCCACCCTCTTCCTCCCACCCTGACCAATGGTGACAGCCTTGCCCCAACTTTCAGATCTTCTCCCCTGCTTCTCCCTTCCCCCAACAGTTTGGTCCCCTGTTCAAGATCACCAGCATTGGCCATCTGTACTCAGACTTCAGACTAATCATGCTTAGGTGAGACCTTGAGCCACTCACCCAAGGGACTTGGCTGGCCTGTTCCAGAAAATTTAGTTGTCCTATGTTAACCTGCCCTTCCCAGGCCCTGGAAGAACGGGACAGCCACTGAAGTAGGCGCTGTCTGTACCTACCGCCCTGATCGCATGGGCCCCAAACTGGACAGAGAACAGCTGTACTGGGAGCTGAGCCAACTGACCCAGGGCGTCACTCGGTTGGGCAACTATACCCTGGACCAGGACAGCCTCTATGTCAACGGTGAGCAGTCACCATCCATACTTTGCCGTTCTCTGTCTCCTTGAAGCTGTCTCCAGCTCCCAGCAGCACCTCTCTCTCCTTCCCTCCACTCTGCAGGTTACACCCACAAGACTGCAGCACCTGTTTCCAGTGGTGAGTCCTCACTGAATCGCAGAAGAGCTGATCCAGACACAGGCAAGGGAGCTCCAGGCTCTTAGCCGCATCTCCAGCTGTTAGGAAGATGATGTTGGGGGCATAGGCAGAAAAGTCCTTCCAGCAAGTACCATCTGTTGACCTCTTCCGTGCCATTGCTGTTGGATGAGGCAGAACAAAGGAGCATCTTAGTAGAAACACTGTCTGTGACCATGTCAGGTTGGAGAGGGTCATCTGCAAAGTTCTGTGGCTTCTGGTTCATCCCACCTCTGCCTGCAGCCTGCAGTGGTGTTAACATCCAGCTGGTGTGTGTGTGTGGCACAAGGACCTAAGGACCAGGGTCTCCTGTGGGACGGTTGTGTGTCTCAAGCCTGTGTTCCCAGAATCCTGTCTGCCTTACCCCGGGTATCCATCCCATGGCTCTCCTCTCCCTTCCCCTGCTGCAGCCCCAGGGCCACCCCTAGTGCCGTTCACCCTCAACTTCACCATCATCAACCTGCCTTATGCAGAGGGCATGCAACCTCCTGGCTCCCAGATGTTCCAAAGAACAGAGAAGCTCCTGCAGCGGCTGGTGAGAGGAGACCAGAGTCACCCCTGCCCTTGCCCTTGGGCACCCACTAGGCCTGCCCACCTGGCCCTCAGCTGGGCTGGCTGCTGGCGGCAACCAGTGATGGATGGTACCTGTCTGGCCCTGAGTCTCAGACCTCTGAACCCCCTCTTTTCTCTGCAGCTCGGACCTCTGTTCAGGAACTCCAGTGTCGGTCCTCTGTACCATAGCTGCAGGCTGGTCTTACTGAGGTGAGGCTTGGGGAGAGCTACTAGGCTTAGCGCGGCCCAGAGATTCTCCTCTAGCTGGTCACCATCCTGGCCCAGGAACCCGAGGAGCCTTTTTTCAGAGAACCATGGACTCTTCTCTATTTACCCGCCCTCCTCAGGCCCAGGAAGGATGCGGCGGCCACAGAGGTGGGCGCTGTCTGCACCTACTACCATGAACCAACAGGCCCCCAGCTGAACAGAGAACAGCTGTACTGGGAGCTGAGCCAGCTGACCCAGGGCGTCACTCGGTTGGGCAACTACACCCTGGACCAGAACAGCCTCTATGTCAACGGTGAGCAACAGTCCTTTGTGCTGTTGAGCCTGCTGCCCTCTTCTCCACGCCTCCTGTAAGCCCTCTTTCCCTTCTAGTTCCTTCCCTCTCAATCCCTCTCCCTCTCTACAGGTTACACTCATCAGAAAACAACCATTGCCACCACCCATGGTGAGTCCTCATGAATCCTTATAACTGTCTCTCCAACACCTCATCTGCAGCCAGGGAAGAGAGCCACATTTCCCAATGGCCAGGCAGGCAAAGTCTCCGGGGCTGAGGGCAAGAACCAACTGGTCTGAGCCACCTGCATCCTGACCAGGTAGAAAGTGATGAGCAGGTGGGTAATGCTGTGGCATCCTTCCTGCAAGTTGATGAGCTGGACCGGAAGGTCTCCTCTAGAGCGTGGTGCTTTCCAAGCCACGCTCACCTTCAGCTGCAGCACGGGATGGTCAAATGCTCACAGCTGGCGCTTCTGGCATTCAGTCTGTTGCTAGGGACTCCAGTGGGATCGACCCTGGGCTCAAGCCCCTGCCTGCTCCTGTGTCTGCATCTGGCCTGGCTCAGCATGGCCCACCTCTCCCTCCCTCTCTACTGCAGCCACCCAACCACCTCCGGCAGCATCCTTCACTCTGAGCTTCACCATCACCAACCTGCCCTACGCGGAGGCCATGCAGCCTCCAGGCTCCCGGAAGTTCAACACCACAGGGAGACTCCTACAGCACCAGGTGACAGCCACGCCTCACTCACCCCAGGTCCCTTTTCTGGCTCTTCCAGTCTCACCTCTGTCCCACTCACTGGTGCTGACCCTGGGCTCGCTGTCCTCTGCCTTGCATACCGGTCTGAGGCCCTGCTTACCAACTCCCATCTCTCACACATGTTGATGCCCACTCTGTCCAATGGTGATGGCCTTGCCCTGACCGGGCCCATCTCCTCTGCCTCCCCTTTCCTTACAGCTGGACCCCCTGCTCAAAAACACCAGCATCCTCAATGCCCTGTACTCTGGCTGTAGACTGAATATGCTCAGGTGAGACCTCAAGGTGCCTTGCGGGTCCAGGGACTCTGGGGCACTCGGGTAGGTTTCCTTTCTGTCCTCCTTCAGCAGAATGGAATTTGGGAAGCAGCTGCTCCAGCCTCCCTCATCCCACTCCCAGATCAGCTCCCTTCACAGACCATCAGGGGTCAATCAGCGGGTCCCGTCCCACCTTGGTCTTCCCATCTGAACCCCTTCTCTGTTGGACCTTCTGGTTTAAAGTCTCTGCCCCCAAGATGTCTTTCAAAACAAAGCATTGCCTTCTCTGCTTGCGTTGACCTTGGATTCTACTGCCACACTTGTTTCAGACAGATTTAGTCATTTGCAATTACATAGAAGTAGAAATACACACACACCGTGAATACGCCCCAGTCTGTATCTATCCGTGTCCCTGCTTGACGCCAGGTTGGCTGCAGTGAAAAAAATCTGCCTCTTCAGGCTTCTATATCCCCCCCCTCTCCAACAAGCTCAGGGCTCCTCTTCCAGGTAATCCGCTTATTGCCATACCCACAATGCACTCTTCCCAGGCCCGAGAAAGATGGGACCGCCACCGGGGTAGACGCTACCTGCACCTACCGAGTCCTCTCTACAGACCCTGGGCTGGACAGAGAGCGGCTGTACTGGGAGCTGGAGCAGTTGACCCATGGCATCACCCAACTGGGACCCTACACCCTGGATCCAGGCAGCCTCTATGTCAGCGGTGAGGAACTCTCTTCCTTTTTTACAGCTTCAAGGGTCCCATATTTCTACTCTCTCTCCGTCTCTCTTTGCTCTCCTCCTGTCCCCTCTCCCTTGCCTCTTCCTTCCCTTGCTCCCCTTTGCCCGCAAGGCACACCTGCCAGATGTCTGCCATGCCACCAATCCCAGCCTCAATATTTTGAAGCTTCCTGCTGCCCGCCCCCCTCCCATGTTCTAGGTACTCAGGAATAGGAGACTGGTACAACACAGTCTCCGCTCTCCACCCCAGCCCGCCTCCAGTCTCAAGTGTACACCAGTCCCCTGACACAATTCCTCCGCCCTGACATGTTCAGAGTGACAGATGGAGTCCCCGGTCCAAGCACTTGTTTCCTTTCCAAGCTTCTGCCATGCTCATGTCTGCCTTGAGTGATAAAGAGCTGTGTGGGGTGGCTGTGGGGTTGAGGTGGGGTCTCCTTGTGCCCTGGTGCTGAGCAGATTCTGCCGCCATAGATCCCTGCACCCACATCTCACATCAGCAGGAAATCTGATCCCTGAAGAGTGTGAGGGTTGGATTTTTTGAGACCTGCCAAGTGGGGCTCTTGCCCTCCTTGCAATGTGCCACAGCTGGGATGGTCCAACAGACACCTGTGCTGGATGAACCGGCACATCCCTTTCCAGTGACCACCCCCCGCCTCCATCCAGCAGTCCGCCCTCCAATGGCCAAGCTGTCTGCTCCCAATTCCCTCTGTCCTCACCATCTCTCTTTGTCTCTTCAGGCTATACCCGTCCAGCCTCCGGCACGACCCCTGAAAGTGAGTAGTCCAGCCCCCCTGTGTGTCTGGGACCACCTCCCTGCCAACTAAACATTAGTAGCAGCTGCTGTTTCTGATGCTCACTCTCTGAGTGACAAGGCACGCGATGGAGGTTGAGAAACGGGCACTGAATCAAAGGTAGCAGGTGTCACTCACTGGAAGGTGATTCCCCTAATTCTAAGCAAGGAGGGGCCAGAGAGAGAGAGAGAGAGAGAGAGAGAGAGAGGGATTCCACATTTCATAACTACAGCCTCACCGCTGTTCTCTCTCCCTTAGTAATGTGACACTTGGGGTTGAACCTGTTCATTTTTAATTCTCAGCAGCTGGGACCACAATGACTGCCATGTCGTCGCCAGCATCACCTGTGGCTCCATCGCCCCCAGCCTCGCCCACAGGTAGGAGGGTCTTGGTCAAAATAGCTCACAACAACATCATTGGTGCCAATCACTTCTCTCAGTGCATGGCCTCCAAGGAACTCTCAATTCTGTGGATTCCAGTGACCAACGCAATTCAGGGTCCATACACTGTATCATGTACCGTTTCCTAACTCCTGGACCTCACTTGGGTTCTCCCCCTGCCCACCCAACCCTTGGCCTTTGGCCCCTGATATTATCGTTGTCTCTCAAACTGGTTCTTTTCCCCCTTGTCAACACCGAGGCAGGGTGTAACCCTGCTGTCTCAGTATCTACCTTTGGATGTATCTGGCCAGTAGGCCACTTCAACATCTGTGTGCTGCGGTCACTGCCTCTCCCATCTCCACTCTCACTTTTCCCCTGAACTTCGGGTTCCACCGGTGTGCCAGGCTCTGCCCCCAGGTGGGTCCTCACCCCAGGTGGTTCCTTCTGCCTGGAACACACTTTCCACCTGCTCAGCTCCTGCTCCCTTCATTTTTACCGAGCTTTGGGTCATGCCTGGAAAGATGCTTGTTCTGAGAAGTGTTGGGTGAGCACCACCATGTAGCTTCCACTGCGATCGCAGACCGGGAAAGACTGTGTCCTCCTCATCTGGGGACCACAGAGCCCAGCCTGGAATCTTGTACATATACCATAAGCACTCCATAAAAGCTGAAGGAGTGAAGGGTCGGTATGTTCTGGGCATTCCAGAATGTTCTCTGCTTCGGCTCCTGCAGCACACGGTCATAGCCATGCTGCGCCCACAGCTGGCGCTCGATAGGATTGGAGGAGACCTGGGTCACTGCTGTGGCCCACACTGGACACTCTCCTCCTTCCCCACCATTGCAGCCACCCCTCTAAGCCCGCTCCCCTTCAGCCTCAACTTCACCATCACCAACATGCGCTACACACAGGAGATGGGGCACCCAGGTTCTTCAGGGTTCAACGCCACCAAGAGGATCCTACAGCACAGGGTGAGGACCCCATGCCCCCACCCACCCACCCAACAGCTGCCACCAGCCCTGCTCACACCTACCCACCTACTCCCTCAGCATCTTCCCACCACCTCCACTTGTGATGCTCTTCATTTATCATACCCTCATCTCCTTCCAGCTCAACATCTTATTCAATAAAACCAGCGTTGGCACCTTCTACACTGGCTGTGACTTGACAACACTCAGGTAAGAGACCCCTGGGGGTGGGGATTGAAGTGACTCATCAGGCAGGGTGGGCACTCATAGCCGGCTCTGGCCATCAGGGACTCAGGCACCGCTGACATCACTGCAGCCCCACCAGGATGCCCTCCGGCTCCCTCCCTGTGAGCAGGTGGTTCTCACAGGTCAGAACCACCATGGCTATCTGCAAGTTCTAAGGAGCCTGTGCTCGGTCTCCCTTGTGTGAGCCCCTCCTGACATGACAGCATCTGTCTTCCACTTTCTGCTTTGCCTACCCCACTCCCACTCGCACCCCAGAATGCTCAGGGCCCCTTCCTCTTCAGCATCTCCATGTGTGTTTCCTTCCTCAGCCTGGAGAAGGGCGGAGCAGCCACTCGTGTGAACTTCATCTGTACCTTCCACTCTGAGCCCTCGCACCCTAGGCTGAGCAGAGAGCAGCTATACTGGGAGCTCAGCCGGGAGACCTATGGCATCACCCAGCTGGGGCCCTTCGCCCTGGACAAGGACAGCCTCTATGTCAACGGTGAGCCGTCGTGTTGCAGCCACAGCCTCTCTCCTGCTACTAGTCCAGTGCTTTTTGAAGCTGGGAATAAAGATCTCAAGTTTTTGACTCACACTTCCTCCGGGGCTACATTCCATCTTTCCGGTGATGAATCCAAATTAACCTTGGCTCAGCAACATAGGCCAGCCACCTCCAATATCAACACCTGGTAACCTTCTCCAAGAACATCCATTTTACTGCCTCAGTCCCCTGCCTTGTCCCCAAACCCTCCTTTTATCTCTCTCTCTCTCTCTTAAGATTTATGTATTTGAAAGGCAGCTAGAGAAAGAGGGAGAGACAGAGTGGGGGCCAGACCAAAGCCAGGAGCTTCATCTGGGCTTCCCACACAGGCAGAAGGAATGGGAACTCAGGCTGTCTTCCACTGCTTTCCCAAACACGCCAGCAGAGAGCTGGATCAGAAGCAGAGCAGCCAAGAGACGAGTCTTATGGAGCACCTGTGTTGCAGATATCAGCTGAGCTGGCTATGCCACAACACCGCTGGGCACCCTTCCCTTTATCTTCATCCTTGGTGTTCACCTGGATGTGATTCAAATCCTTCTCATGTTTTCTCTGCAGATTACACCTATGGCGCTATGGCCCCGACTACCACCAGTGAGTATTCCCGGGCCTGGCCCCTGTATTGAGTTGGACAATACCTCTCCTTACTGAGGGGAATAGCTACAACAGTGTTTGATTCTTCCTGTTGTCTGAGGCAGTGTCTACACAGGTGATCAGGTCATGAGGAGGACGTGAGGAGGAAGGAAGATAGCAGGGACAAGTGGAAGAAGAGAGGGATGAAGAGAAAAAGGAGGCAGGATGGGAGACAAGATGGATAAACAGTGAAGAAAGTAAGGAAGGGTGGATAAGATGGGTGGAAAGATGGGTGAAGAGACAAAGGCAGAAACAAAGAGGCTTGCCTGGAATAAGGTCACAGATGGAATTATAGACAAAAAATGAGAAGTAAATAAGAATAAAAAGAAGGAAGAGAGAATGAAGGAGAAAGAGAAGATGGATACGAGAATAAATAGATTTGTTGAATGAACAGGTTGGTGATGACTGGATGGATAGATGGTGGATGGCTGGATGGGTGGAGAGACTAAAAAGGAAGGGATGGAAGGAAGAAGAGGGATGGATGGATGGATGGATGGATGGATGGATGGATGGATGGATGGATGAATGGATGGATGAATGGATGGATGGATGGATGGGTGGATGGATGGATGGATGGATGGATGGATGGATGGATGGATGGATGGATGGATGGAAAGAGAGAATGTAGGAAGGAAGGAGTACATAGGAGTGGCAAGAGAAATGAAAGCAGAGACGAAAATAGAGGCAGAGAGGATGAGCAGGGAGAAGTTTCTGTAATAAACATTTCCATAACATCTCCTCTGTGCCTGGGAGCACTCACACACTTCATACAGATTCGCTTTCTTAATCCTCAGGACAGCCATCTCATTTTACAGAGTAAATCAACGCACACAGGGGTTGGTGCCAGCTGCTAGGGTCCCTGGCTGTCTTCACAGCTGGATTCAGAGGCAGAGGGCACGGAAGGGAGGGTCAGAGAAGGGATGGAGCAGGGGAGCAGGTGTACAGACGGGGCTTCCCCCAGCACCTGCACTCTGTATCTGCCAGGAAATGGTCCTCAGTACCCCAGACATTGAGGTGCCTTCTTGGCTGTTGTCTGACTCTTTGCATCTCTCAGGAGATAGACAAGGGGCCCTCGAGAGCTCCCTCCCCCAATAGCTACCCTCCCTGTAAGCTCTTTTTCCCGTTGCCCACCTTAGCTGGGGATATCAACGAGCCCTTCACACTGAATTTCACCATCAACAACCTGCGTTACTCAGCCCTCATGGGCCGGCCTGGCTCCCTGAAGTTCAACATCACGGACAGCCTCATGCAGCACCTGGTAGGAGGCCTGCTCCTCCCCACCATTCCTCCATGCCCATCCTGGGGCTCTCGGCTGCCTCTGACCAGTGCTGACTCTCTCTGTCCACTCCAGCTCAGCCCCCTGTTCCAGAGGAGCAGCCTGGGTGCCCGGTATACTGGCTGCAGGGTCATGGCTCTAAGGTGAGAATCCACTCCCACTCCCTACCTCCTCCCACCCCACCCACAGTCCACCAAGGAAGGGCGTGGACTTCCAAGTGCCCTGGGGTTGTATTAGTTGGTTGCTGTGCTACTTAAATTCTTCATTTTTCAACAATGCTTTTTTTTTTTAATTGAGAGAAGATCTTCCCATTGGCTGATTCGCTCTCCAAATGTCCCGCCCCCAGGCTCATCACCCACCACTCTGCTTCCTACCTCTATGAGCGTAATGATTATAAATGCGCATGTGTTCTGTCCTGCCCTTACGAATAAATCATCTCTATTGTCACAGATGTCGGAACATCCTTCCTTTTCAGGGTTGAATAATGTTCCATCTGTACGTCCCCATATAGCTTTGGTTCATTCATTCACACTCCGCTTTCTCTCTGGGGTGGAGAGTGTACCAGATACTAGAACTTTTCTTGACAACAGTGTCCTGGGCAGGTCTAGCTCTTGCCTTCACAGAGGTTGTCCCGTCCAGCAGGACAGTCAACGGGGGCCGCAACCACCTAGGAGAGAACGAAGGGACAAGAGACACGAAGAATGGACAGCAAGACAGGATGTCTGATCAAGCTGTCAGTTTATTGATTTTAATTGAGGGTTTTTATACTCTTCAGTAACTAAGGCTCAGGGAGGAAAGGAGAAACTAGGACGCAAGCCATGGTCTCAAGACCGATTGTTCTTGAGCAGTCACCATATCAACCATAGTAACCAGCATATCAACAATAGCATAGGTAGTCAGTAACAAGATGTCGGCAGGTACAGCATAAATCACATTCTAAGACAGTTGCTAGAAACAATTGAAGCTAAGCGTGTGATTAGTTTCATAACTTCTTTCCCAAGCATCTAGCCAGCCGGGGGTTTTCCACTGGCCCACAGTTCTATATTCAAAATGGCTTCAGTGTGGCTACAGTACATGGCTCCTGACAAGAGGTCATATCCCAATAGGCACAGGGATAAGACATTGATGATGACAATGAAGGCACCAGGGATTAGGGGACCCTGGTGAGCCACCTGACCCAGTTTGGGAAAGGTCAGGGAAGAGGAGGAAGAGCTGTCAGAACTAAGGCCTCCAGGATGACCAGGAAGTGACCCACGGTAGGAAAGTAGGGGAGAAGCATCCATCCAGAAGTAAACTACACATGCAAAGACCCTGAAGGATTGAGCATGGCCAGGGAAGATTCCAGAAGTGGTTTAAAAAGGATGGCATGAAGCTACAGGTTGTGCAGGGGCCACAGGTAGGCTGGTGCTGGATGACCCGCATCTCTCAAAGGTATGCCTGTCCCTCCCCAGGTCTGTGAAGAACCTTGCTCAGACACAGGTGGACTTTCTCTGTGCCTACCGGCGGCCCCCTGGCAGCCCAGGGCTGTCTGCTCAGCGGGTGTTTCATGAGCTGAGCTGGCAGACCCGTGGCATCATGCAGCTGGGCCCCTACACCTTGGACAAAGACAGCCTGTACCTGGATGGTGAGCAGCCCTCGGCCCCACCTCCCCAGGCCACTGTGCAGCTCAGGCAGATGCCCATTGAATAGTTCTCTGTGAGGTAGGCTCCGGAGGTAAATCTCAACTGAACCCCCAGGCCCTCTTCTCCACCCGGCTATCCTACAAAGCCAGTCCCTGCCTGACCTCCCCCCGCCTTTTACAGATGGACAAACTGAGACCTAGAGAGGCTAAACCATTTGCTGCAGTGGCTGTGGCTGGAAAGTCCCAGCTTCCAACACCTAGCTAGGGTCTGGCTCCATTCCCAGAGGAGTCCTTCCGAGGAGGTCTGGAGGACAGGAACTACCTTCGTGTCCCATCCCTGGTTCCTTCTCACCCTTGGCCAAGGGTGGGCTTCTTTCCCAAGTGGGTTCTTCCTACCACAGGTGCTCTGCACTCCCAGCGAGGGCAACAGCTTGGCAGGGACAGCATTTGGGAGGGTGGGGGTTCTGTCAGAGGAGGTGTGGCAAGTGAAATGGTTGGCCAGAGAACATCCTAAGTCTATCTTCCATCCTCAAGCTGGGTGTGGTGCCTGGCAACTCATCGCCAGAGGAGGCAGGCAAGGGGATGTCCTAGGCTTCCGCAGATAGGGCTCCACCTAGGGTCAGTTTGCAGCCAGTCTGGTTCTGACTGGTCCTCTTGTTCACTGTATAATGTGTGTGCTTTGTGTCTGTTGGGTATCTGCTAGAATATGGGTGCCTGGAGCAAAGAGATGGCTTGAGTATGTCATGTAAACTCCATGTATGTCATGTATGTCAGGGATCATTCTGTTTGGCTCTATGGAATGTGTGTGGGAATTAGAACTAGAAGATAGGCTTGCTTAGGTGCAAAACATTTTTTAAATTCCTGCACAGCTTTTTCGGGATAAGCATTTTCATGAACTTTTCTGAAATCCCTCATAGCCACATCTTTGATGGTGAGCGCATGTCCACTGTCCAGGGAGGGCAAGGGATCCAGGCAGGACCCTACCTGGAACAAAGCATAGAATATCTGGTACCAGCATAGAGATGCGCTCAGCCCTGGGATGGCTCTACCACCTGCCCTGACTGGAATTTGTTTGTTTCCAGGTTACAATGAGCACGGCCCTGAGGAGCCTCCTACAAGTATGTGATTTCGAATCCAGTTACCACCTCAGGTTCTATGGTTCTTGGCTCAAGCCATTCTCCTCATTCGCAAAGGGAACTTTCCCCAGACTCAGAAAGATTAGAATAAAATTGTTCCCTCCAGAGATAGGAACTGGGGTCAGAGGATGACTCTGTACTCCTGCCCTCTGATGACAAAATCTACAGGGTCCCTGCAACAGGTCCTGTTGTCCAGCTGCAAACCCCAGAGCCTTTTCATTTAACTTTGGCTGAATGTTCCCATTCTCTCATCCAGCAGTCCATGCATCTACCTATCCAGTTAGCCAGTCTTCCACTCTTCCAATCATCTTTCTTCTTGGCTATCACCCTGCCATCTGTTCATCTGGCTATTCACCAATTCTCCTGCCCAGTCCATTTATCCATCCACCCGCCCTTCCATCCATCTATCTACCCACCACCCACCCACCCTTTCTTCCATCCATCCATCCATGCATCCATCCATCCATCCACCCACCCTTCCATCCATCCATCCATCCATCCACCCACCCACCCTTCCATCCATCCATTCATCCATCCATCCACCCTTCACCCACCCTTCCTTCCATCCATCCACTCACCCTTCTTCTATCCATTCATACATCCATCCATCAATCCACCCACCCACTCACCCACCCTTCCTTCCACCCAGCCCTCCATCCATCCATCCATCCATCCATCCATCCATCCATCCATCCATCCATCCGTTCCTCTGTTTGCCCATTCACCTGCTTCTCCTTCCTTCCCTCTGTCCTTCCATCTTTCTAACTTTTATTTATTACTTTATTCTTACCTTTACTTCTGACCCTTCACTGGTCCGCTTTTCCTCCTGATCATCCAATTACCCCTCCCATTTTTCTGCCAGTTCATTTTTTTCCCTCCTGTCCGCATTCTGCTCTTCCATATCTGGGTTGGTTTCACACAGTCTCTTCCCCTCATTCTGTTACATGCCACCTGCAAATGGTAGCCTTGGCATGCACAACCGCTGCTCAAGACTGGGAGAAACTCCTTGTTGGCTTTTCCCACCATGGGGAGAGCTGGGTCCCTCATTGATGGTAACTTCTTCTGCAGCTCCTGAGCCGGCTACCCCATTACCGACTTCTTTACCCACATCTGTGCGACCAGAAGCCACCACAGGTATCTGGGTGACCCTCTTCCTCCCCAAGAACAACTCCTCAGCCCCACACCTACAGAAACTGATTCTGAGGATTCCAGTGGTGTCATGTGATTCTCAGGATGAAGATTGGCAGCTTAGACTTCTGCCCTCACAGAGCTCCCAAGGCGGGGGGATGGGGGTGAATGGGGCTGGAACCAAGTTTGGGTATTTGGGGGAGGGTCACCTGGCTTAATGTGGAGGGGACAAGGCTTTTGGGAGGCAGTGTCATCTGAGCTGAGTCTTCGATGATGAATAGCAATGATCTAAGGCAAGTAGGGCCTGAAGGGGGTTCCTGGAACAGAGGTTCCTGCAAGAAAAGACGTAGCAGTGAGAAGCAGCATAATGCATGTGGGGGAGAGCCAAGAGGAGTTGGTTGGCATGAGGCACCGGGCTTATGCTGGTGTGGTGAGAGGTCAGCAGGAGGCACACCGGGAAGGTGCCTTGAGTGCCAACCCCATGGGCTTCAATGTCTCATGGAAGGCAGTAGGGAATGAATTGCAGACATTACTGGAGCATGGGGTCCTAGTGAACATCCTGTTTCAGGAAAATTCTTCTCATTTTTTAGATCGAATGTACAGTGTATGCCCTGGGGTGCCAGGACAGGCAAGACAAGATCTGAACTGGAACAGGGATGACATGAGACACCTGACATCCAGGGACACCTAGGATGGATGGGAGGAGATACATAGGTTTTGACTTGGAGGACCACAGCAGTGGGCAGGGGTGGTGAGTCTGCTGCCACAATAAAGATGCTAATGCAAGCAGGACTGCCACCTGGTCTCGGGCCAACTCTTATACGTGTCTCTTCCCCTGCCCCCTCTCCTCCTGTCTTCCTGCAGTCATAGGACACAACCTGAAGACCCTCACACTCAACTTCACCATCTCCAACCTCCCCTATTCACCAGACATGGGCCGTGGGTCAGCCACGTTCAACTCCACTGAGCAGAACCTGCAGTACCTGGTGAGGTGGTGGTCCCAACACTTCCTGGTGGTGCAAGTCCCACCCTTCCCCTCCTGCTTACCCTCCTCCTATTCCTCCCTAGCTTGGATCCTTGTTTCACAACAGCAGCCTGGGGCCCTTCCACTCTGGTTGCAACCTGATGTCCCTCAGGTAAGATACTCCTTAACCATTTGCCCGTAACAACCATCTTGTGTGTGTGTGACCGCTCCATTCTCAATCTGCCCTCTGATTTCCAGCAAGCCGAGCCTCCCTACTTGGACCCTGGCCCCCAGAGGTCTCGAGAACCCCTGATGATCTCTCTCTCCCTAGGCCTGAGAAGGACAGCATGGGCACCCATGTGGACGTCACCTGCAGCTATCGCCCCGCTCCCGTGGGCTTAGGACTGGATGTGCGGCAGCTGTATGCAGAGTTGAACCAGCTGACCCAGGGCGTCACCCAACTGGGCCTCTACAGCCTGGTCAAAGACAGCCTCTTTGTCAATGGTGAGTGGCCATGCTGAACTTGGATTTTTGATGGTTATCTCCTGACCCTGTGCTATTGCCTTTCTTCTCCAAAGAATCAAAAAGTCAGCCCTAAAGCTGGGTGGGATAAACACCTTTCTTTACAGTTACCAGAGGGAGGGACACTTAAGATTGTACACATTTGAGATGGTATAATACAGCCCTCGGTCTCTCCTTCCATCTCTGCATCCATCTATCCACCCACCTATGTATTATCTTCTGAGATGCATACCACAACTTGAGCCAGTTAATAAGCCCATTGCTTCATATACACTGTGAGTGTAAAAGCCACAGAATATCTAAGACCTCTTGCCTTAGAAAATTTCAAATATCCAATATGAAAGTACTTAAAAAAAAAAAAAACTTTAGGAAAAAAAAAATGGAATTAAAAGAAACATACCAAAACCATTGTGAAATCCATGCAGTGGAGGGTAGACATGGTGGGCCCGCTGAAGAAGACCTTGCACCTGGCTGGGTGGGCTGTTTTTGAGAGGGTAAGAATACTGTACACAAGGATGTTGGTTGTGCTTAAATAGATGCCTAAAGCTACAACATCCAGAAGATATATAGGACAGATTACGAATGAGAAGTGAGTATGGTGAAAAAGCAATCAGATGTTTTAAAAAATTAGCAGCTGGTGGCCAAATAGAAGAGGGGATTCTTTAGGCTGAAAACAAACGAAGTCGGGAGGAAAAGTGATACCGTAGAAGCCATGGGAGCCATGAGTGGAAGAGAACCTGCTGCCGGCCAGTGGAAACGGCCAATATACATTACCTTTGAGAAAACCGATAACAAGATGTGTTTGGGAGACTTGGTCAAATGAACTATTATCGTCATAGAGTCTCGTGGCTCAGTTTCTGATCTGTAAAAGTATTAACCCTGATGATTTCAAAGATGGCATTTTTTTGAAGATTTTTTTAAATTATTTTTTTATTGGAAAGGCGGATATACAGAGAGGAGAGACAGAGAGGAAGATCTTCCATCCGATGACTCACTCCCCAAGTGACCCCAATGGCCAATGCTATGCCGATCCGAAGCCAGGAGCCTCTTCCGGGTCTCCCATGCAGGTGCAGGGTCCCAAAGCCTTGGGCCGGCCTCCACTGCTTTCCTGGGCCACAGGCAGGGAGCTGGAAGGGAAGCGGGGCCACCGGGATAGAACCGGCGCCCATATGGGATCCCAGGCGTGCAAGGCGAGGCCCTTAACCACTTGTGCCACCGCGCCAGGCCCAAGATGCTATTTTTTTTTTTTAACTAGAAAAGGTTGTGGAGAGATTTGAAAGTTGGCTAGAAAAATTCGGTCTACAAAAGCGAGGCCGTAACCCAACTGCCAAGCCTCCTCAGTAGATTCTTCAATGCATAATAATTCTTATTATTATCCAGAGGTTATTCTTGTCTGAACTGTTAGGAGGACGAGAAACCAACACATTGGGAAACAGCAAAAATAGTTTATGCTGTTAACCTAAAAAAAAAAAAATCCATGCAGAGGTTTCTCATAGGACATATGTTCCTTGAACTTTTTAAATATATATATATGTTTTTATTATATTTTGACAATCTTTACATAGTTAATTAGGGTAAAAAAGGTTCAAGGGCTACAGGGAATTGGGTAAGACCACCATTTCCATACTGCTTCCTTCATGTATCTGAGATAAAGGGGGATATTGAGGGAAAGGCCCCACCCAGTTTCCCACCCACCCCAAGTCCCACATGTGGGGCATGTTCTGAGATTATTGCTCAGTTGGTTTCGTTAGTTCACCATTGATGGATCGCTACCAGTCTTGCCTCTCCAAGGACAATGAGGTCATCGAAGAATCCACAGATTGACACAGGAGTCTCTCTTTGCCCAGTGTTTCGCTGCCAACAAATAGCTGAGGTCCCTGAACTTTTTTTTTTTTAAGATTTATTTTATTTTTAGTGGAAAGGCGGATCTACAGAGAGGAGGAGAGACAGAGAGGAAGATCTTCCGTCCGGTGATTCACTCCCCAAGTGAGCGCAACGGCCGATGCTATGCCGGTCCGGTGCCAGGAGCTTCTTCTGGGTCTCCCACACGGGTGCAGGGTCCCAAAGCTTTGGGCCGTCCTCCACTGCTTTTCCAGGCCACAACCAGGGAGCTGGATGGGAAGTGGAGCTGCCGGGATTAGAACCGGTGCCCATATGGGATCCCGGGCGTGCAAGGCGAGGACCTTTAACCACTTGCGCCACCGCGCCGGGCCCGGTTCCTGAACTTTTAAGAAACAATCTTGTAGAATATCAGGGACGTTCACTGTGTCATACGTTAGGTACCCATGGCGTGTTCTTCCAAGTGGAAGTCTGTGTCCTCCGACCAACGCCTAACCATCTTCTCCACCGACACTGCTCCTCCGGTTAAGCCCCATTGGACTCACTTCAATAGGTCAGCTTCTGTGTGTGAGTGAAGTCGCGTAGTATTTGTCATGCTCTAATTCCTTTCACTTAGCCTTTCGCCACCCCACACTCATTCTTTCAACAAACACGCTTGTACGTGGGTGATGGTGCTCCCTTGGGTTACTTGGTGGTGGGGTGGGACATTTGGCTTAGCAGTGAAGCTGCAAGTTTGCGGGATACTTGCACCCCAGATTGGAGTACCTGATTTCCAGGGCTGGCACCGCATCCAGCTTCCTGCTAAAGTACATCATATGGGCCCGGCGCAATGGTGCAATGGTTAAGGTCCTCGCCTTGCATGCCCGGGATCCCATATGGGCGCCGGTTCTAATCCCGGCAGCCCCACTTCCCGTCTAGCTCCCTGCTTGTGGCCTGAGAAAGCAGTGGAGGACAGCCCAAAGCCTTGGGACCCTGCACCTGCGTGGGAGAACCGGAAGAAGTTCCTGGATCCTGGCTTCGGATCGGCATAGCATCGGCCGTTGCGCTCACTTGGGGAGTAAATCATGGGACGGAAGGTCTTCCTCTCTGTATATCCGCCTTTCCAATAAAAATAAATCTTTAAAAAAAAATAAAGTACATCCTAGGAGGCAGCACGCTGTATGTGCTCATGCAGTGAGAGGTGGGAATTCAACTCCTGGTTCGTGGTTTCATTCCATCCCAGCCCCTAATATTGCAGGCACTTAGTGAGTGAACCAGCAGATGGAGGAATGCTTCTTCTCTTTCTCTCTTAATCTCTCTGCCTTTCTAATAAAAATAAAATAAAAAGACGTTAGGGACATAGAAATGCTACTGCGTCTTGTACATGAGCCCTGCATCCTGTAACTTTGCTGGGTTCTTCTATTATTTCCCATAGTTTTTCATTTTGGTTTTTCAGTACCTGAGATTATGATGCTTGCAAACAAGGACCATTTAAATGCCCTCATTTTCAGACCGGGAGCCCTTTGCTTCTTTCTCCTACCTAACAGCTCTGGCTAAGACTTCTAGTACCATGCTGAATCTTACAAGGAATGTTCCTGATGGTACAAGGCAGTGTTTCGACTCTTCCCCCATCAGAGTCAAGCTCACTGGGGGTCCATCATGCATCGTTACTATGTTGAGGCACATTACTGATATTAACAGTACTGTGGGCGCTCAGAGGAAGGGACAAGTCAAGGAGGGCTTCCTGAAAGGGGCTGTTTCTTACCTAGCCCTATGCTAAGTCTCAGGACGTAGAATCAGAAAGATGGGGGTCCTTCTCCTGGAGCTTCATCTCATTGGGGTTTCTGAAGCCTATATAGGAGTTTTCCAGGAAAAGGAGAGACTGAATGAATCTTGCAGGAAATAGGAATGGCACAGCACCAACAGGAAAGCTGACACACAAGTTCGGGTCCTGGTTGAGATGCCCACACCCCCTTTCTCCGAGTGCTTCAAGTTGAGTCCTGGCTCCACTCCCGAGTCCAGCTTCCTTCTAATGCATACCCTGGGAGGCATCAGCTTTGGGTTCCCACAGAGTTGAGTCTCTGCCACCCACATGGGAAGCCTGGATTGAGTGCCTAGCACTTGGCTTCACCCAGCCTAGTCCTGGCCATTGCAGGCATTTGTGGAATAAGCTAGCAGATGAGAGATTTCTTCCTATCTCACAAATAACTAACTAAAACAGATATGCAGGTTTTTTGTTTGTTTGTTTGTTTGCTATTTTAAGCAGAAAAACTCCATCCAGAAGAATCCCTATAAAGTAGCAGCTTCCTGCACCTCAGAGGGATGTTCCTGTGAGAGTCCCACAACTCCCCACATGGCAACTCTGATTTTGGCTGATTCTGGTGGCAGGCGGGAGACCCTCCACCCCACAAGGACGGGTCATTCTGGCTTTGCAGAAACTGAAGGATTTCTCCCCCCACCTTCTGTCTTTTGTTCCCCTCCGTGGTTCCAGGCTATGCACCCCCAGACGTGGCACCCATCCGGAGTGAGTACCAGCTCAATTTCCACATCATCAACTGGAGACTCAGCGATGCTGACCCCAGCTCTGCCGAGTACCTCGCCCTGCTGACAGACATCCAAGACAAGGTGGGCTCTCCCGTCTCCCTCCCCATCTCACAGAGCCCTGTGGGACTTGCGCTTCCATTCCTCCACTTTCCTGTCGCCAGCACCGCAGTCCCACAGGCTGGGTCAGTTCTGAAGAAGACAGGAGGCAGTCTTCCAGAGCACTGATTTTAGGGACCAGTGGGGACACTCGCAAGGCATACCAGATCTTCACATTCCAGCCTTATTCCTGGCTCCACCTTCCTGCTAACGCACAGCTCTGGAGGCAGCACGTGTGGTCTCAAGCACTTGGGTCCTCTGCTATCCTCGTGAGAGACCCAGATGGAAATCCTGGTTGCATGTCTGTCTGTCTCTGTCCCCCTTCTTAGGATCCATCGCGGGGAGGGGTTCCACCATGATGACCTCATTGAGTCAAAAATCACCTATTCACCACAGTCATATTAGAAATTATCTCCCTCTTCCCACATTGCCACAATAACTAAACTATAACATTATGTTTCAGAGGGCACACATTGAATTCAAACCGCAGCAAATGCCTATGAAGTGACGATTTCAACTCTTTGTGTGTTTTGGGTTCTCGCGGTTAATAAAGGAGGGACCCCCGACTGCCTTCCTCCTTTCCCAGGGTGGGAAAAGACAAGGGTTCAAAATGAAGCCTGGTGTCCCAGGAGTCACACAGGAGTTTAGGAGTGGAGTCAGGATTTGAACCCGGGTCTCTCTGGCTCCAGCCTCTGCGTTCTTTCTACTTCCCGCGTACCTGCAGGAGGCAACCGTCTCACACACTCTTCCAACCTTTCTGTCCTTGCAGGTCACCGCAGTCTACACAGGGAGTCAACTCCGAGATGTGTTCCACTCATGCCTGGTCACCAACTTGACGTAAGTTCTACAGGCTGAGAAATGGTGGGATCCTTCAGAGACTAACAGCTCTTCTTTCTTTTTTTTGGGGGGGGAGGTGGAGGGGAAGCATTGCATGGGAAATACACAAGGCCCAAGAAGCTATGAGCGTGGGCAAGGAGGTTTTAAAGGAAAAGGGGTGTGGGGGGGATTCAGAGAACACAGATTGTGCAGACCCAAAGCCTCAGGTCATCGCTGGAGACTTCACGATCGGCCCAGATATTCGGGCATCTTGTCTGAGTCGCTGCAGTCTTGAATAATATGACTATATCCCCTGGATCTGTGCTTACCTGCAAGATGTTTGATTTCATCTTGGGTTCATCCACTTTGTATATATACACACACACACACGCACGCACACACACACTTACATCTGTGCTGATTCTTCTGAAAGACTAGCACGGTGAGCAAGAGTTCTTCTATCCGCTGGCTCACTGTGCAACGGCTGGGTGGCCAGGGTTCAAGTGCTTGGGCCATCTGCAGCTTCTTTTCTCAGGTGCAATAGCAAGGAACTGCGGTGGAAATGGAGCAGCCGGGACTCAAACTGGTGCTCCGGGATGGGATGCTGGCATTGTAGGCAGAAGCCTGGCTCTCTGAGCCGCAGCACTATCCCTGCGATTATCCACTTGTCTGAGCTGATCACGTGTGTGTGTGTGGGCTTCCCATCAGGGACAAGTCCCCCACGCAGTGTCTGTTCTTCCTTCTACTCCACATCCCTCCCTGTCACCCATTCTACTTCCACTATAGACCCTGCCATCCACTCCTTTGGTCCTGGACACTTGGACCAGACAACAAGCTGATGTGCAGAACTCCACATGTCAGCCCAATAAGGAACATTGACCATCAGCCTGGATTCCCTACTCAACATTCCTTCATGGGATGATCTGGCTGAATTCTCACAATAGCCCCCTGTGAGGTGGATAGGAGGATTATTCCCATTGTTAAGCTGGGAAAAATGAGGCTCGGAGAGGGGAAGTGAATCTCCCAAGGAGATTTGAACCCAGGTCTCTGCAGGAAGTTAAGACACTTGTCCTGAGGGGAAGGAGGGTTCCGGGACACACAACATGTCACTTGAATATGTCCAACCATCACTTTCTCTGTAGTATGGGGGTAAGGAGATACTTGTTTGTTTTTTTGTGTTTTTGTTTTGTTTTATAAGAAGATTATATTTATTTGAAAGAGTTATAAATAGAGGCAGAGGCAAGTTCCATGCTCTCATTTAATCCCCGGATGACCACCACAGCCAAGCACGTGGGCTACTGTCCCAGGTGCGTTAGTAGGGAGCTGGACCGGAAGCAGAGCAGCCGACCCTATAACCTGTTGTCCCTCAACGGTGGCCCCATGACGTTAGGAACACTTAGGGTTATGCTTCCTGCCAACCTGATGGTGAAGGATCCCCATACAGAGCAAAGGCTCAGTTCAGCCTCATTACTGTTACTGTTGCTGCTTCTAGCTCCAGCTCCTGGAAGCTTCCCCAGCTTGTTTAGGATCTTTCTCAAGAAGAGGGAAGGAGGAGGATGTTCAGTGATGTCCCCCACTGCTGACCCCTTGAAGCCAGTGACATGAGACTCTGCTGGTTGAATCTCATTGGTGTGTGTCTTCCAGGTCGGGCTCCGTGTTGGTCACTATGAAAGTGTTCTTCTCATCCTCCGACCTGAACCCCAACCTGGTAAAGCAAGTTTTTCTAGAAAAGACCCTGAATGCCTCATCCTGCTGGCTGGGAGCCACATACCAGCTGACCGACCTGCATGTGACAGGTATATAAGGCGGGGAGGCCAAATTTATGGCCGCTTGAGCTAGGGGACTCTGGGAAAGGCTGGAGTCGCTGAGCTGCTCCAGTGACTGGAGTAGACAGGCTCAGGAAGGGAAAGGGGTCTTCCTGGAGATTGCTGTTCTAGGTACCATCCATCCATCCATCTAGGGCCAGAGAACATGTGGCAATGATGCTTGAGGGAAGTGGTCATTTCTCTTCCAACCCCAAATGTGGAGCATCTTGAGTTTTCTTCCTTGGGTCTCCCAGTTATGAGCTGCATATTCATTCAACAAATACTTTTTTTTTCCTTTAAGAAGTGAAGCAAAGTATGTATAACTACGCAGTGCATCATGGTAGTCCAACATATGTATGTCATGTTCAGGGTATTGTGCAATTGTCTCAAGCATGGGTCATTTCTTTTCATTAGAAACTTCAAACAACTCTCTTCTAATTATTCTTCTTCTTTTTTTTTAAAGATTTATTTATTTATTGGAAAGTCAGATCTACAGAGAGGAGGAGAGACAGAGAGGAAGATCTTCCATCCGATGATTCACTCCCCAAGTGAGCGCAATGGTCGTTGCTACACCGATCCTAAACCAGGAGCTTCCTCCAGGTCTCCCACACGGGTGCAGGGTCCCAAGGCTTTGGGCTGTCCTCCACTGATTTCTCAGGCCATAGGCAGGGAGCTGGATGGGAAGTGGAGCTGCCAGGATTGTTTTATAGGCCCATATGGGATCCTGGTGCATGCAAGGTGAGGACTTTAGGCACTGGGCTATCGTGCCAGGCCCAGAGTTCTGCTTTAGAAAGAGCTTCCTCTGGATACTGTATAGAGAATGGGCTAGAAGGAGGCCCAGAGAAAGACCTACTAGGAAACTAAGGGTGGTCCACACCTGCCGAGGGAGACCCACCTTCCTCCTTTCTGTATGGCAATGCGCTGTCGTCATGTTTAGTGGAAATAGAATCAGACACACAGACAGGTGCATGACCACAAAGTGGGCAGGCGGAGGGAGGTTTTCTGTAACTCACCTTTAAAAACTAGCTCAGGTCGGGACCAGTGCGGTGGCCTAGCGGCTAGAGTCCTTACCTTGAATGCACCGGCATCCCATATGGGTGCTGGTTCTAATCCCGGCAGCTCCACTTCCCATCCAGCTCCCTGCCTGTGGCCTGGGAAAGCAGTCGAGGACAGCCCAAAGCCTTGGGACCCTGCACCCATGTGGGAGACCTGGAAGAAGTTCCTGGCTCCTGGCCTTCAGATCAGCACAGCTCTGGCTGTTACGGTCACTTGGGGAGTGAATCATTGGACGGAAGATCTTCCTCTCTGTCTCTCCTCTCTGTATATCTTTTCCAATAAAAATAAATAAATCTTTAAAAACAAAACAAAGCAAAACCAGAAGCTAGCTCAGATCACTTTGCCAGGAGTAAGTAGGCATGAATGACCTCTCATAAAAAAAAATAAATGTACCTTAATGTGGGATTTTCGCATCTTTTTTAAATTGTAGAGGTGGAACCAACAGTTCATCTCCCGACAGAAAAACCAACCAGCAGTTCCAACTTCCAGGAATTCCAGCTGAATTTCACCATCACCAACCTGCTCTATTCCCAAGACATATCCCAGGAAGGGAGTGCCAAACACCAGCGGAACAAAAGGAGTGTCGAGAACGCGGTGAGAATGTGGTTGTACCCACGCCCACTCCCTTTGATCTCTGCACACTGAGGGGTCCACAGTGACCTTTTATGGCAATTCGTGGAGACAGGTTCTTTTTTTTTTTAATTTTATTAATTGTACTGCATTATGTGACACAGTGTTATGGGCACTTGGATTCCCCCAACCTCTCCCCGAACCCTCCCCCCATGGTGGATTTCTCCACCTTGTTGCATTACCACAGTTTAAATTCAGTTGTGGTTCTTTCATTGGAAAGATTAAGTCCAGTGTCTTATTATCTTAGTGGGTTCAGTGATTTCTTGGTGGGACCATCTCTGGTCTGAAGGTAAGTCCAGCTAAGCTTCATCCCAAACGATAAAAGGCCCCGACATGCCCTCGACAGCCATTTACAACCTCATGGCATCAATTGACATGACATTGATTAATAGTATGTTGATGGGAAGATGCGGTTTCTTAACTACATCCTTCCTCATAGACATTTCAATTTTGGTTTGTATTCAATGTGATTCCATACAATTATCAGTTTAGGTACAATACATTTTATTATTAATGTAGGATGGGTGTGCAGAGAAATCCCCAATACCCCAGTGAGGCGTTACTAATCTTTGTGTCCCACCTAGTGAAGTAAGATAGGTTCTTATTCCCACTTTGCATATTAAGCAGCAGGCACGGAGAGTGTCCATAACTGAACCAGGGCTGTACATCCTAGTCACACCCTGGAATAGAACGTCCCTTGGTGCACACACCTGGACTAGTATTTTTGAACCAAGAAAAAAAAAAAAGAGAGATGTATGCTTGGGGGCTCTACGTGCATACATCACAGAAACACTGCCCTGTCTTTCAGCTCAACCAGCTCTTCCTGAACAGCAGCATCAAGAGTCACTTTTCTGAATGCCATGTTGTTGCATTTCGGTAAGTTGCAACTCAGGAGTCAGATCTACAGAGAGGAGGAGAGACAGAGTGGAAGATCTTCCATCCGATGATTCACTCCCCAAGTCAGCGCAATGGCCGATGCTATGCCGATCCAAAGCCAGGATCCAGGAACTTCTTCCGGGTCTCCCACGCGGGTGCAGGGTCCCAAGGCTTTGGGCTGTCCTCCACTGCTTTCCCGGGTCACAGGCAGGGAGCTGGATGGGAAGTGGAGCTTTATTTTATAGCTTCTTTATCTTATATTTTCTAGATTTTATTTTTATTTATAAAATTAATAGAACATATATTTACATATTATATATTGATCGCTATATATATTATGTATAAATATAAAATATATACTAGTATATTTCAATATAATAATATGACACGTGACATACAACATATAAGATATATTATATGATGTATAATACATGCACCATATATAATACATGTATTGTATAAAACTATTATTTATTAGTATTTATTATTAATAACTACTAATAGTACATTATATAATATATTGTATATTATATGCTATTTTTATATTAATATAACATGCTATATAATAGATATATTTATAGATTTATATATAGAATCATCTATAAATATATAAAATATATAACTATAACTAACATAATATGAAATATAATATTTTTGTTTTATGTTTATGTCTTTATTTATATTTTTAGCTGTTTATTTTTTATTGATTTATTTTTGATTAATTTGTAAAGGTTGATTTATTTATTGGAAAGGCAGAATAACTAGAGATACGGACAAAGACTGTCCATCCAGTGTTTCATTCCACTAATGCCCACAGTAGCCAGAGCTAGGTCAAGCGAGCCAGGAGCCAGGAGTCCAATGCATTGGGGTGCCAGGGGCCCAAGCACTTGAACAATCATGGGCTGCCCCCCCAAGGTGTGCACTGGCTCCTCTATGGGATGCAGGTGTCCCAAGCGGCATTTTAAGTGCTAAACCGAATGTCCACCTGGGCTATTTATGAACTAAACTACAGATTCAGTCCTTCACCCATCCCAGCCCCGAGTGCTCCATATGATTGAGGGTAATAAGCATGGTACTGCTTAATGGAGACACGCAATGTTCATCTCACTGCGGAAGGTTCTAGAGCGGGCCTGTAGGGTGTCCGTTCCCTTAGCTTTACCCTCTTTGCGCCCCTCCAGATCCATCGTCAACAGCAACCACACCAAGGTGGATTCCCTGTGTGGCTTCTCGTTTTCGGGTCGGATGTTGACCAAAGTCACCATCTATGAGGAATTTTTGCGGATGACCCAGAATGGCACCAGGCTGCAGAACTTCACTCTGGACAGGCATAGCGTCCTTGTGGACGGTAAGGTTCTCTGGTCACTCCGGGGGCTGGGATGGAACCTTCCCCACTGCACTCCTTCACAGGCAACCTGGAGGCCTAGCGACGAGTCCACCTGGACCCTGGAAGCAGGCTGTGTCATCCTCTCGGGTCCTTAGCACCACTGAGGAAGAGATAAGGAGTGGGACTTGGGGGCACTTTCGCCCTCTCCTGGCTTGTTCTGGGACCACAAGCTAGGGATATCCTCTGGCCCCGTGCGGGCTTTTAAATCCAAGTTAAGTGGGAATCCATCCTTAGCCAAGAGCTGCCTCCATGGTGGTTAAACCTCCCATATCCAAATTTTCCCCCACCCCAGAGAAGGGTTGTGTACGTGACACTATGCGTCAGGAACGGAGGAGGAGAGTGGCCTTGTCTATTTGTTACTCGTTGCCCAAGAGCCCATGTTGTCCGTGGCCTGCAGTGAACGCCTAACACATAGTGACTGAAGAAATAGGCAGACTTTTCCACCTTATGGATCACGTGATGTGGATCACGTGACGTGGGCTTCCCCTAGTGCCTGGTGCGCTACCCTGGGGTTCTGTGTCATCCTACAAGACCATGCTGCTGAGGCAGAACATGGAACAGAAGATATTACTTTTTTTCCATAAATGGCCGCTGCAGCAGCAGCAGCAGCATCTGGTCAGTCCTTCGCTCCAGCTGCCTGCCGACGCACACCGTGAAAGGCAGAAGATGGTGGCTCAGCTAGTTGGATCTCTGCCACCCATGCGGGAGACCTGGGGAGAGTTCCCCTCTGCCTGCATTGAGCCTGGTCATTTGCAGGCATTTGGGAACTAGAGCATCGGTTCTCTTTCTCTCTCTCCCCTGCGTGTAAGTGAGCATTTTAAAGAAAGATTAAAGCACTCTCCCTCAGTTGGACTCTGTACCCTCTATTCCTTTCCAGGATATCCTCCAAGCAGAAATGATGCTGTGACTAAGAATTCTGGTAAGACTCAAAGAGTTCTCCCAACCCCAAATAAGGAAGGTGTGGCATGTTGCTTTCTTTGCTTTGTTTTTAAAGAGTTGCATGGACAGGCGGACCTGGAGGACATTGAAAATTGGCCAGCCTGTGGCCAGGACTGTTGAGGCACCATGGGAAGAGATTGTGGTTTACAACAAAGGGGGCACTCTTGGGGGGTGCTTCAGACCCAGGTGATGTTGGGCCACAAGTTGCCCAAGTCCATAGCCAGCTCAAGCTACACAGGATCCTCAAGCGAGCCAATCAGAGCAGGCTCATCCCCATCCTTGTCTCTCCAGGCCTTCCCTTCTGGGCAGTCATCCTCATCTGTTTGGTTGGACTCCTGGGACTCATCACATGCCTGATCTGCTGCTTTCTGGTGAGCCAGGGGAGGGCTGTTTGTGTTCTAATCATTGAGATGCCAGGAACTTGAATGCACAATGATGTCACGGCCGCCAGAGGACTACACGCCATGCTAGTTGCAGAAGGTCCTTGCACTCGTTTGACTGTAGCCATCTTAGCTTAGGCACACTCTAGGACGTTCCTCCAGAGACAAAAAATCACCCAATGGGGGGCATTTCTCAGATTCCCATCAGTTAGCAATGTGTGACTGTATACAAGGGTGCTTCAAAAAGCTGATGGAAACGGAATCAGAGGATAGGGGGCCGACGTTGTGACTCAGCATGTTGACCGCCACTTGTGACACCTGCACCTCATACGGGAACGTCTGTTGGAATCCTAAGCTGCTCCACTTCTGGTCCAGTTGCCAGCTCACGTGCTAGGAAAGGTTGCACAGGATCACACAAGTGCTCACATGGTGTGAGACCTGGATAGAGTCCCTAGCTACTGGTTTTGGCGAGGCCCAGACGGGGTGTGGTGGCCACGTCGGGGGAGTGAATCTGCAGGTGGGAGAGCAATCTCTCTTCTTGCTTTCACTTCCTCCCCTCCTCTCTCTGTTGGAAAGGCAGAGTTACAGAGAGAGGGAGGGAATCTTTCATCTGCTGGCTCCTTACCCAAATGGCTAAAATGGCTGCGGTTGAGCCAGTCTGAAGCCTGGAGCCACGGACTTTGTCTTAGTCCCCCACGTGTCTTGGGCCATTCTCTGCTGCTTCCCCAGTATTAACAAGGGAGCTGAATTGGAAATGGCAGCAGTCAAGACTCAAACCAGCACCCACATGGGCTAGCAGCACTACAGGGTAGAGGATTAGTCAGCTCGGCCACTCTATCTGACCCAGGATGTCAGTATAATAAGCAATGCCTTTGCCCGTGGCACCACAACGCCTGTCCCAGGCAAGAATTACTGATGCATGCAGTAACGTGCATATATTACAAATATTCAGGACAAATGCAACAAACCAGACCACAACAGACTGTATACTGTGGCATTCTACTAAGAAACAAATTCTAGACACAGAGAAAAGAGGCCAAGCCCAAAAGACAAAAACCAGAGAGTTCGATAGTTAGACCATAGATAGCTGGGTCAGAGATGACAGAGCTGGACGGGTCTAGATAATTGAGAAAGTAACTTGATACGCGGACGATTGATACATCAGAGAGAGATGCTGGGAAGAAGCAATAGACGATGGTTAACAGGGAGAGACAACAGAGAGGTTACAAAAATGTGAGTGCAAGTGGGGAGAGAGCAGTTAAATAAGTGGGAAGAGGGGAAGAAGGGCTGAGAGAGAGAAGCCACCAGGAGGAAGGAAGGACATCTGGAGGCATGGAGGCTCTGGTTCCAGCCCTGTCCTCAGCCTCGTGGTCTCCTCCAGTTGCACAGCTCACCCGTCCATTCTGACGGCCTCTCTCGGCCCTCACAGGTGACCACCTGCCAGAGGAGGAAGGAGGCAGACTACGAGGTCCAGCGTCGTCCCCGTCTGAGCTACTACCTGCCACACTTGGACTTCAGGAAACTGCAATGAGTACCCAATGCCTGAGGACCCTGTGAGCCCGGCCAGGTCCTGGAGCGGTTTGGCTGGGGCAGAAATAAACCACATTGGTTGGACACACACACAGCCTCAGGACCTTTCTTGACTTGACCCTGAGTGGCTCACGGAGACCACAAGAGAAGTCTTTCTTCACTAAGTCATGACATCCACCCACAGTTGTGTTTTTGTGGATTGATGCCGTGTCTCCCCTCAGGGATGTCAGAATTGCTGCGTCATTAAATCAACATCCCTGCTACACACCTGCCCCTGACCCCCATCATGCCTGCATCTGCTCTTCTCTATTTCCCTGCTCGCCAGCTCCTCGGCAGAATCTCAAGTTGGGTTTTTACTGCTTGATTTGCTGAAGCTCAGGTTTGTTGGGCCTTCTGGATCAATTGTCCCCAATGGTTCCTCACCCACCCCTCAAGGATGCTCCAAGATGAGAAAGGAGCCAGAAGGAACACGTGCGTAAAAAATGGCTACATCATCAGCTTTGGGGATTTGGAAAGCTGAGATGGTGGGAAGCCAATGTCATGCCAAGATTTTAGGGAGCGTAATGCCTGCTCTGGGTGTCAAGATGAATAAAAGAGTTTGTCTCCCTTCTTTCTATGGACCGACTCCAACTGCACACTGACTGCCAAGCAACCCGGGCGCGAGGCCAGATGCACTGCTGTTTTTAGGACCTGCAGAAGGGTGGGGAATAGTTCTCATGATGACTGTGTGATTTGCAGACTACCCCAAGTACCAACTCGCCAGGGATTAAAACTGCAATATACATCCTGCGCTTCCAGACTGGGTTCTATAACCTCTAACTTGGGTAATCCAAGATACTCCAAAAGCCACGTAATCTATGCAAATATTCTGATGCCAAACATTCCAGATATGGGATGCTCAAATCTGTAATGGCTATCACTTATTGATTTCTCCGTTATCTGCTAAACACCATTGGTTGGCAAGCTCTGTGTGTATTATCTGAATTACAGCCTGGGTTTGCTATGGTTCGATTGTGCCCCATCTGAAATTCCCACATTGGAAACTTAAATGTCTACTACCATGACCTTGAGAAGGGGGTGCCTCTAACGAGATATTTAGGCCATGAAGGCTGTGAGCTCACAAATAGATTGATGCCCAATCCAGCCTCCCCTGATAACGTGCCTGGGAAAGCAGCAGTAGATGGTCCAAGTACCTGGGCCCCATTCACCCATGCAGAACACCAAGATAGAGTTCCTGGCTCCTTGCGTGCGCCACAAGTTGTTTCTCATAGCCATTTGGGAGTGAATGAACCAACAGAAGATCTCGCCCTACCCCCACCCAATCACACTGCCTTTGGAATACATATATATCTTGTTTTTAAAATGTGGTGTGGCAGGAGGCTCTCTCTCCTATTCTTTTGCCATCTGAGGACCCATTGTTCATCCTCTTTTGCCATTCTGCCTTTCACAGTGTGAGAATACAAGAGAGTCCCGCCTCAGATGCCGGCACCCTAAAATTGGGGTTTCCCAGCTTCCCCAACTACGAAACAGTACATGTATAAACGGGACAAATTACCCAATTCCTGCAGCACAAAACACATTAAGACACTGCCCTTGAGAGATTCCCATGATATTTCTAAAAGTAGCCAGCATCACTGAGCCGAAGGAAAAAAAAATATCTGTCTGTCTTTAGTAAACTACATTTGTTGATCTCTGACACGCTGAATCGACACCAAGACTGCTTGTATTTGGAAATGTTCCCTCTGGCATCCGAGAAGAAGTTACGGGAATGCAGGCGTGTGTGGAAGTATTGGGGTGTGAGGGAGTTCACCAGACTAGGGGGGCACATTGCCTTCTTTGAGAAAAAAAAAATAGATCTCGAACCCAACCTGATTCCTTCCACCTGGGTGAGAATCTGAGCCAACATGCCTTGGCCTCTAGGACACACATTATCCCCAAACTGGAATCAGTGGTGGAGCCCGGGACTCGAACCCAGGGAACTGTGACAGGGGAGGTAGGCACCTCAAGGAAGCTGGGTCTTAATCAGATGTTGCCTTCTTCTGGCTACGCCTGGCCAGTGTCGAGGTCTCTATAGTATAGAAATTAAAATTCTTTCGAGATCTGAAGGCAAGCAGATAAAACTAATCTCCAAAGTGTGCTTCAATCAAGTATAGATGATGTACTCTTCTTTGTGCCTGCAATCCAGGTGAGAATTGATGAGCTAATTTGCATTCTTTTTGTTTCCGGGCCACCTTTCCCAGAAATCCAATTTGTACTTTCCATGTACAACACATTCCCCCTGTTTGCTAGTTGAACTTTATTCAATACACCTGCCCTGTCTCCAGAGTTTGTGAAATTCAACATGCCCAGGTTGCTCCCAACACGATGTCAAAGTTTTCCACTTCAAGAGCACAGCAAAAAAGAATCATGCCAGATTCCTTTGGGGTCTGATGACAACGGGTCATTGTGACCTTACCAAGGCAAAGAGACACGGAATGGTGAAGGCAGGTAGAAGTCTTGGAGTGGCGTCAGGAGCTGGCAGCAGAGAAAAGGGGAGGTTGACGACTTTCTGTCCACGGCTCACAGGTAAAGCCAAGACACAGAAAAGTAATGGCTGAAGAGAGGTTCCAGGAAAGGGAGCAGAAAGTTGTCCTTGGGAGAGATGGGAAAACATTTAAGTGCTGAAGCAAGATTTCAACTCGGGGGGGGGGGGGCTAGAGTGGAAGATGGGAGACTTAAGGTTACCAAGGAGGAGGAAGGAGTGAGCCTCAGATCAACCCGGGGGAAGGTGAGCGAAATACATACAGGGAAAACAAAAAAGTGAAATTCTGAAACAAGGCTAGGGGAGAAATCAAGAAGGTAACAAGTTACCACAAAGAAAAGAGGAAAAATCTCTTTTAATGACAAATGCTTCCTCCTTGGTATCTGTAATGGCATCAAGACACTCCAATCATTAGCATAAGAACCGCAGGAGCTATGGTGTGGTAGCTAACGGGTTCTTTCAAGTCTGAAGTCTCAAGGGCAGATTTCAGAGTAGTGAGGAACTTTTATTCTTTTTTTTTTTTTTTTAAAAAAAGGATTTCAAGATTAATTTTATTGGAAAGGCAGGTGTACAGAGAGGAGAGACAGAGAGGAAGGTCTTCCATCCGATGATTCACTCCCCAAGTGAGCGCAACAACCGGTGCTGTGCCGATCCGAAGCCAGGAGCCAGGAACTTCTTTCCGGGTCTCCCCACGCAGGTGCAGGGTCCCAAGACTTTGGGCCGTCCTCGACTGCTTTCCCGGGCCACAAGCAGGGAGCTGGATGGGAAGTGGAGCTGCCGGGATTAGAACCGGCACTCATATGGGATCCCGGCGCGTTCAAGACAAGGACCTTAATCACTATGCTATCGCCCCGGGACCGGAACTTTTATTCTGAAGGAATTATCTGAGATCACAAATACTGGCTTCTAAGCTAAGAGATAATCTAAGGTGACATGGAGTTCCAGTATCCACACAGCACAGCCGGGTGACCATGGTACAAGGAAATAAAGTCTAAAGAGATGGACGAGCCAGTGACTGTCATTGGATCATTACCCAGCATCTTCATGTATCGAATGATCACATAGCTCTCTGGGTACACACATCTATTTTTTTTTTTTCAATTTTAAAAAGGTTGGTGGTAGTGGGAGGTGGGGACGACTGAAAATAGAGCAGTGAGGAATCTCTCTGGGTGTTTGAGTGAAAAACCCGGAAACCAGCATCTTGCGATGAACACACACACACACCTTCTCCGAAACATTTGTCTTTTGAGTCTGTCTGCCCATTTGGATGTTAGTTATTTAAAACAGTCGTTGAGTTCTAGTTCTAGTTCATACAATATCACGCTATTATTACGTGCAGCGAATTCCCACAAGCTGGTTCTTCACCGTGAGCTGAACACACCAGACGCAACGAGGTATCTTAGGAGGTTTAGTCCAGTGGGGCAGGAACAGGGTGGGGGTGGTGGAGATCAGAAAAAAAGGGGGAGAAGGAAGTACTTGGGGCCCTTTCATGCAGGTAGGCCCCGCAAGGTGTGGGAGGGGGTGGGGATTGGGAGGGATTGAGGGCAGGGTCCAGGGGATTGGTCCCTGCAGGTGAATGCCTAGGGATGATTGGTGAGTGGGCGGGGTTGGGGGAAGGGGCTGGGAGATTGGGTGGGAGTCTCAGGTGGAATGCCGGGTTACAGCTGATTGGTGGATGGCTTGACCTGCACGAATTTCACGGAGCTGTGAGCAAGAAGGAATGGCGCCAGGTCGAGGGTGGGATATTCGAATAACTCCTGTATCTGGGGTACAGTGGTGCCTCTAAGAGAGATGGGGTGACCGTCTGTTGATTTTTTAAGCACTCCGGGGAGCTCTGAACACCAAGTCAGTGAGGGGCGACCCCGTACAGACCTTCAGATCACACAGACTCAACGTTGCAGGAATTTGGGATCAGGCCAAGAACTCTGACCCCAGCCGGCCTGGTCAGGCCTCCTCCTGGGGGCGGGGGGAGGCATGGGGCTCCAAATGAGCCTATTTGCATTTAGTACTGGTCATATTTACCAGTTATGGATATATTATGTCCACACTCGCAGACCGCCGAATCCAGAACACACCAAAATAATCCGTGCCTAATGCACACGCATCCACTGTTCGACTCCCCTAATGTTCTCCATGTCCACAGCTGGACCAGTGGAGGACTCAACCTTTTGAGCCATCACGGCTGCCTCCTAGGTCTCCTTTAGCAGGAGGCTGGGGTCAGGAAAGGACCCAGGGCTTTGAGTCAGGGAGGGACTCTGACTCCAACTGCTTACCCAACCAGGCTAAATGCCTACCCCTACCTCAGTTTACCTTTCAGGCCATCCCAGTTATGTGACAGTATGAGCTGTGGCCACCCCGATGCGCTCGAGGACATTGGAAAGTGCTGCTTTGTTGTATATGTTTTTGCACCTGTTATCCAACCTCAATCATTCTTTTTGGCCCTTTGAGCTTCCCCCGTGAGACAGCCAACACGCACGCTAGCAGTGGATTGTCTTGACAGAATTTCATGATTGATTTGTACAGGTTCAGAGGAAAACCAGCATCATGACGAAGACTTCTCAGAAGAGGCTGCGTGACTCTCCAAGTCCACCTAAAGCAAGGGCTGCCTGGAGCACCTCCAGCCCTCTGAGGATGTCCAGTTACATCCTCAAGAGGCCAGTTACCCGGGTGACCTCCCACGCCGGCAATGAGGTCAGGTACCACCAGTGGGACGAGACCCTGGACAAGCCACAGCAGGTCTGCTGGCAGAAGAGAATGCAAGGCCTCCAGGCCTCCAGCAGCACAGGAGAACAACTGAGCACCCCGGATCTCGCCAAAGTCTTGCAGCAACTGGCATCTAATGGCGCAGGGGTATCCCCGCCACAGGCTGAGACCGCACCTGCCCTGGCCCGACACTCACCTTGGCCGGAGCCGACGCCAGGAGGAGAGCATCTGGGTCTCTCTCACAGCTTCTACAAACCATTTCTGGTGACTGAGGAAGATATTAAGAGGCAGGAAAAGAAAGTGGAGACAGCCAGAGAGAGGCTCGCCCTAGCAATGATCGCAGACAGGCTAGCCAGTGAAAGAGAAAAGGTGAGGGGGCTGGGAAAGAGAACTGATGAAACTGGGGAAGGGAAACCCCAATAAAGAGAAGGGTACCCGGAATGCTGTGTGAATACTTCCAAACATCTTTGCAGTGTCCGCCATTTTGGGTTTTTGTTTTGTTTTTTTGTATTTTTTTTGCTTTGAGAACGTGAAACTCTTAGAAAAATCTATGTACTTCTTTCGTGGGGGGGCAGAGAGATTGGATTTCAGATGAAGAAAAAGAGGATTTTTTTTTTTTTGCTTTTTAATGTTTTACATACCCATTGACTAAGCACGCGATTTATTTTTTTTATGTATCTATGCTATAGACGCTACTCAGCCCACAGAAAGATCACTTACCCTTTAAATATATATATTTATAAATATATAAACAAAATACTTCTTTACACAATTTCTATAACACCAATTATGTGTCATAATGTGTACATATATTTTATAGACACCTGTAGGATCTCTTGATATTTATAACAGATTATGATATATAGGTTACATATTAATGTAAATATACATCGAATTAAGATGCCTATAAATGCATGCCATTACATTATACATTGTATATAAATACATATTTATGTCTAGCACATACATTACATTAAGTACAAATACATATTTACATGGGCAATGATTTATTTATACATGTATGTTTATACATATAACAATACTTAACCACCCTGAAAACGGCTATTAGCGTTTCTCTGCCACTCTGATTTACAAAACTGGATTATATGGGGGGCGGGGTCTGGAAGCGGGGTAACCTAGCCTTCCTCCTCCAAACACCCCAAACCCTTAAAAGAGAAAATACGTTTTCCAAGTCCCGCGCAGCACGCCCCGGGTCCTAAGGTAAGCCCCCCCGATTTGGGGATCGTACCCCCAGAATCCACACTCCTCCACCCGCACCCCCAAAACCACCCGGTCCGCCCCGGCTCCCCGAACCCCCGCAGCTCGGCTGCCTCTCCGACCCAGCCCGTCTTCACCCAGCAGCCCCCACCCCGTTAGCTACAAAGCCCCGTTAGCCTTGCTGCTGCACCGATCCCCCCGAAACGCCAGGCATCCCTCATTCCAGCCAGCCCTCAGTCCCGGGGCGCCGGAAGTGGAAGCCCGGAGAGGGCGGGGACGGGCCGCCCACGGCCGGAAGCGGAAGCGCGGGGCTGGACCGGTTTGTCCATGGGCGGCGAGTCGGCCGGCTGTCTCCGGCCTGGGTTGATGGGGGCACCCGGGTGAGTTGATGCATGGGTGGGTGCGTGGGGTTCGGGTCCGGGAGTTGGGGCTCGCTGTCACCCTTCGCGGGGACCCCGCTTCCTCCCTCCAGACCTGCGCGAAGCTCTGCTGGGCTTGCTGTGTTGAGAGCATCCCTCTGCTTTCTCGGCAAGGGGCGATGCTGCTGCGCCCCGCGTGGAGCCCCCGGGCCCCTTTGGGGTTTGTCTGCAAGTGGCAAAGAGGGGCACCCAGCAGGACGGAGACGTTCTGCAAGACACCCCACACTGCCCGGGGCAGCCGGCCCCCTGTTTCCCCAGCATTGTCCTGTGGGCTGAACTTGGGTGCTGGAAACTCCCCCAAGATCCCGGGAGTCCTTGGGAATCAGCTTGAGGAATCAGCCTAGGATGGTTCCTCACCTCCACGCCGCTGCTCCAGGAACAGTGAAGGAAACAGGGGTGCTTGACACGGCTGTCATTTTGGCTTAAGGAGCCAAGTTTCTGACAGCGTCCAACAAGTGGGGTGCAAACTGCGCTACTGGGGGAAAAAACCCATTTTTTAATTATTTTTTTTCTCCTCAAAAGCATCCCTCCAGCTCCCACCGGTGCTGAAACCTGAGTTCACCTGGGCTCAGGGATCCCCGAATTTCTGTGCCACCAGGTGAGTGTCCATGGGGAGCTTTGGAACAGGTGTTGGGGGGGCAGGAGGGGAGGTTGTCATCTGAGCAAGGGCTGCTAGGGGTGAGACAGTGTGCAATTGTGATGCAATGTCACAGACGAGGTCAATTGTAAGGGGGGGAAAAAAAAGATTGATTTTTGTCCAGGGTCAAAGGGCCACTTAGGATGCCCAGCCTTCCTGCCCAGGCAAGGAGGCAGCGTAGGGCACCAGGTGGGATGGTATGCCAGGGGACCTCACTAACAGCCCCACTGGCACGATAACCTGTTAACCCATTCGTCCCACGAAAGGAGTCATCCATTCATGGTCACCTTTTCAAAGTCCCTGCTCTACACTTCTAACGGGGATCGCATTTCAGCACAAATTTCTCCTGGGCCAAACTGTATTCCTGTTATCACATGCTATATAAAATAGTGCCAGGCACGCGTGCGATAGCGTACGACTTCCTGCTAAGAAGGAATAGGACTTGGCAACCCCCAGATTTGGGCCCATGGAGCTGGGCTTTGTAAAGACCTGAGAATCCTCCTCGGGGGACCTCCTTGACAGGGTTTAAGCCCCCTGATCATAGCAGCAGAAATTTAAGAATTGAAACGCCTGAGAGGGTTCAGGCGTCCTTTGTGAAGTCTGAAAGCATTTGTTCCCGTGTGATGGCTCAGTGGCTAAATCCTCACCTTGCAAGTGTAGGATCCTCTATGGACACCTGTTCGAGTCCCGGCTGCTCCACTTCCCATCCAGCTCCCTGCTTGTGGTCTGGGAAAGCAGTAGAGGATGGCCCAAAGCCCTTGGGACTCTACACCTGCATGGAAGACCCAGAGAAAGCTCTTGGTTCGTGGCTTCAGATCGGTTCGGCTCAGCTCCGGCCGCTGCAGCCATCTGGGGTGAGAAATGGGATGGAAGATCTTTTTCTCTCTGTCTCTCCTTCTCTGTACATTTACTTTTCCAATTAAAAAAAAAATGTTGAATAGCAAAATAAAATTTTAAAAACTGAAAGCACGTGGAAGGATATGGTGCTGCTACCTCAAGGCTGATGGGTGATGGCTTCCTAAACAGGCTGTGTTCTAGAACTTGCCTCCTCAGAGGAGTTAACTTTGTTTCTTAAAACCTGTTTGCTAATAGCACTATGGTGATTCTTACTGGAGTCATTCACGTGATACTGTCTTACAGAAATTGTATAGGTGTGACCCTTTTTTGACCAGCCATCCTGCATAGTCAGGACCACAGGATTTGCTGAGATGTGGGCCCTTGAGTGTCAAAGCCAGGATGGTTCTAGATTGATCTGGATGTTAAACCGCTGACCTCTAGGAGCTGGGCCCTGGTCCAGATGCACAGGGAAGCCAGCAGAGCTAACACACACCTCTGCCCGCCTCTGTGGAGTGTATACGCTGGCAGGGAAAAGGGCTGCATACTCTCAACAGCAGGAGGGATGGGGGGAGCCAGGCACCTGCGGCCCAGTCTGAGGGATGGGAAGGACAGCCTAGCGGGAAGGACAGACAGGTGAAGTACGGCTGTGGTTGGGCTGGGTTTAGCAGGTTGCCAGGTTAGACTGGAGTGGGACATGGGATTGCTAAGATAGCATCCAGAGCGGGGAGGGAGATCAGCATATCCCACGAATGGACCAGATGGAGTGTCCAGAGCTGAGACACCCCAGAGGGGAAAGGTGTGAGCCGAGCAGGGGACAGAGGGGATGGGGACCGGCAGAAGCCATCCCGCTGAGGACAGCCAAGAGAGGAGGAGGAGGAGGACGCAGTTTGGTCAGAGCACGTGGCCCTGAGAAGGTTCAGAGTGAAGACCTTATAGAGACATGACGGGAGGATGTCAGGGGGACGTTTAGGAATGAAGCTATCATTTTCTGGCCTGGGTGGTGACGGCAGAGAGAACAGATGTAACCCAAAAAGAGGAGTCTTGGAGCTGAGAGGGGCGTTCCTCGTATAGTTTAGACACCTGCTCCTGGCAGCCCCTCCTGCACGGCTGCCACTCCAAGGGCCCCCTCCTCTGTATCCCGAAGACCCTCAGGACCACATAACCCCCCATGATGCCTGCCAGCTCTCTGGAGTTCTCCAAACAAGTTCAGGGAAAACACAGACGGCTAGCCAATGATTTGTGGCCGTCACGCTAGCCACATTTCAAGTGCTGGTCAGCTGCACGTGGCTGATTCCAAGAACAGAATAGCAGAACATTTTTGCTGTCGTTCCAAAGTTATACTGGGCAGCACTGGCCCCAAGGAGGCCCATCCGCTGTGACCATCTGCCAATTGCAGCAACACAGCTGGGGCAGGACTGGGGCCGCCACAGCTCTAGACCGACTCCAAATGCCTCCAGCCCGAATAGAGTTCGGTTGCTAGGTAACCTTGACGGGGACCCCTCTCCCCCTCCCCCCGGAGCCATCCACCTCCCTGCACCCTCTTTGCCCACCTCCTTCTTGGAGCCCAATGAGCTGACAGGCAGAGATCTAGGGGGCACTGAGGGCTCCCCTGGAACAGGAGGATAGTCTGCAAGACGGAGCTGTCCCCACACAGAGAAAGAGGGACAGTGCCTCATTGATGGCAGGAGGCGGGAGATGAGGAGGAAGTCGGAGAGCAGGGGACAGTACTGGTGGCTACGCAGGCAGTTGAGGACCAGGTTTCTTCTCTGAGAAGAAGCAGGGTACAGGATCATCTGACAGACCCACAATTCAGTGTCCATCACTGCCCTCATCCCTCAAGGCAAAGTAATCATTTGTTGTCTGTTACAGTGTTTGTGGTTCAGGAACTCGGGCGCGGCGGCTGGCCTGGAAGGTTCTGTCCTGGGACTCTGAAGAGGCTACAGGACGCTGTGTGCTGAACCACATTGTCAACAGGCCCCGACTGCCGCTCAACGCTTCGCCTCTACCGGCCTCCCAGGCATGGCTGATGCATGGGCTCCAGCTGCTGGCAAGAGACCTCAATGCCTCTCTGCCTAGGCCTCTCCACGGAGCTCCTGGGTGCCTTGGCCACACAGCAGTGGGGTCCCCCTGGAGCAAGCACCAAGGAGACCAAGGTGGGAGCCACCGTCTTCCGGGACACAGCCTTGGTCGGTTCGTTGTGAGCGCTGGGAAGCGTTAGATCATGGAGGGCTGTTCTAGGATGCTGATTCCCACAGAGGAAGGAGGCGATGCCAAAGTGAAAGTGGGAAGCCACGTTGACTCGTAGGATTGATGGTCCGGCAAGGTCAAGAACTTCCTTTCTCATTGATGTCCTTGCATGCATGTCTGGAGTGGGAGCCCATTTGCTGACTGCTATATCCAAAAGGAACCACGGGGCAGAAGGGGCTTGCAATCCTAGACTGAAGGTTGGGGGGTAGGGTGAGGACATCTGTCAAAATAAGAGGCGTCGGTATCTGGCCCCAGGTTAATGTGCAGTGAGGAGGAGGAGGAACAGTACCAGGGGATGATGACAGGGCACGACAGGTTCCGTGGACATGTTGGCACTGAGGGCACAGAGGAGCCGTCATAGGGTCTCTGCTGTCACCCAGCCGAGATAGGCCTCGCAGGAGGAAGGAAATCCAAGGGGGACAGGAGCCAGGGTTGCCAGGGGGCATGTAGGGGACCCAGCTGGGACAGAGAAGCCAGGAGGTGTCAGAGGGGCTGGAATCGGGGTACCGTGGGCCTCCCATGTGTCTTCTCTGCCCGTCTCACCTGCCAAGCAGGATGCTGGCCCAAGGTTACAGGCAGAGCATGCGTGGTAGAGTCTAGCATGAGGGCTACGCCTTGGCAACCAGGAGAAACCATCAAGACCCTTTGTTCTGTTTCTTCCCTGGGTAGGTGAGAAGACAAGCTCCTGGTGCCCCCACCGGCCTCGTGCTGAGCATGGCAGCTGTGGTCCTGCCCCCCACTTGCAGTGAGTCTCTGGGCCCTGGCAGCCCTCAGAGGTCAGGTTCTCTGGGCACAGAGCAGGAGGCCCCCGAGGGCTAGGTGGAGCGGGTGAGATTGGGGTGGAGTCCCTAGGGCGTCAAGGACACTGGGGTGTCTGCCGGACAGCTCTGGGCTCGGCTGTCAGTGGATGTGGCCCCCCACACTACGTACTTTGGAATCACGTGTTTAGTTTTTCCTGCCTACACGGTAAGAATAGAGGTGCCATCTGCACCCCGATTTTTGTCTCCGAGATGGAAGTGGTCTCCTTCTGGAGTCCTGTTTTCTGACCTGGGTGAGACAGGGCGCTGTGCTCTGGCTCCTTAGGGTACAGGATTGAGCTGTGCCAGGCACTCGGGGGGTGTCTGCGTGGGCACTGCGGTATGGGGTTGAGGTATGTGGGGTGTTCAGGAGATGTTTCTGTAGGCCTTGGGATGCTGTGCATGGTGATAAGGGGGTTTCTGTCTAGTGTAGAGGTATAGGGTTGAGTGTGTGGAGTGATTGGGGGTGTCCGTGGGAATAGGAGTACAGGTTTGTGCTAGTGGGGTGCTCAGCGGCGTGTCTGTGTGGGTGTCGGGATGTGACCAATCCCAGATTTGGGGAAGGTGTGTCCAGGACTGTGGGTGAGGGAAGCCAGGGCAGCTGGGCTTGCTGGCCACATGTCTCCTGCTGTAGCTTGGTGCTTTGTGTTTCTTCCAGTCTCTCAGCAAACAGGTTGCACAGAGGTGACACTGGCTAAGGAATCCCTGACCAGCTGGTTACAGGTGAGTCAGATAGCTGATCCTTCTTCCACTCTCTCATCTACTGTCAGGGTACCCTGATACCAGTTACGACACGATAGCCCCCCCTCCAGCATCCCTACGCACTTCACATGCAGCCAAGAGTTTGAGGGAAGCCAAGTAAAGACGTCACCGTGTCCTAAACTCACACAGTTTCTCGTGGACCTGATGAGATTATTAGTTCACTTTATCCAACTTCTGAAACTTTCCAGGTCTTTGTATAACCATGGGACTGAGGGCAATGAAATTGCAGGAACTCAGTCGTAAGTTAAAGAAAGCAAATCTCTATGTAGCATTCCCAGGACCTTGGCAGGTGGACCTGAGGGGCATAGGTGATAAAAGAGTTGAGGGTTGAACCCCAAAAGCCAATAGGAGGAACCCTCACATCTTGAGCGGTGGGTGGGCCCCTTGCCCATCCCTTTTGCCTTCAGTCCTCCTCCACTCTCTTCCTGTCCGTGCTGCTGGCTGCGACCCGAAGCCAAGTCACATGCTTTGCGATGGTTTAGGATCTGGTGACCTTTGACGATGTAGCTGTGGAGTTCAACCAGGAGGAGTGGGCCTTGCTGGACCCTTCACAGAGAACGCTGTACCGAGACGTGACGCTGGAGAACTGCCGAAACCTGGCCTCACTGGGTAAGCACTGTGTCACTTCCCGCATTGACCCCACACCGGGGTAACATGCTGCGCGCTCTCTGTCTCTTTTCCTTGTTTGTTTCTGAATTGAAGTAGAATTCACAGAGCATCGAAGTCGCCATCTTAACGACATAAAATGTGTGCATATTCAATGGCTTTTCCATCAGCACTGTCATCTCAGGCCGTTTTGTTATCCCCTGCTATGGCTTGAGTTAGTTTTATTTTCTCCCTAAGGTTAATGGCCTGGAAGCATTTTGGAATTATGTCCCAGTGCAGCGGTACGATGTGGTGGGTACTTCGAAGAGGGAGAGCCAGAGAGAGATGATTAAGTGTTTTTTGGACGTACTGGAGCAATTGAGAGCCATTTCATAGCAGTGTGTCAGGTCTGATGGACTACGATTAATTCTCAAGAGGGTGGGTTATCAGGATGGGAGGCTGACATGTGCTTTCCTAGTTGCTTCTCTGCCGCATTTGGCACAGCTAGGGACCCTGATGGACACTGTTGCTTTGCTCTGGGAGTTTCCCAGCACCAACTGTTGTGAGCCGAGACACACACCTTTCCTTGGAAAGCCCCCAGCCTCAGGTAACTGGCTAAGGTATCAGCAGTCAGACTAAGACAACCCCTGAAACAGTTAGTACCTGTCAGCAATGCCCGCGTCACCACGTACCCCAAGTCGAGCGGAGGAACTAGGGTTGAAAAGAAGACAACACGCACTGGGTCATTCTTGTAAAGAGAATGCCGTTTATTGAATCCCCGCCTGCCTTTTTATACTCTGCCTAGTTCCTCCCAATGTTCAAGCAGCTCCTAAGATCCCCTGGGGGCGTCTTGACAACCGGGATGCAGGGAAGCAGGAATTTGCAGTTAAGCCAGGGGCTAAAGGTATCAGGTCAAGATTGCCCATCCTGTTACCCCTTGAGAGAGAAGCTAGGCTGTGGAGTTAACCCTTGGGGAGACCAGGCCCTGGAAGTATCCGTTTCTCTCTGCACTGTTATGACTCTGACAGTTATGACTAATATGGCTAGAAATATTTATGTACACTTTTTTTTTTAAACAGCTATCCTCTTGAGATCTACCTAGAGATAGAATGCTGTATATCTGACTTTCCAATAAAAATAAAATAAATCTTTAAAAAAAAGCAACGCAGCTAGCACTTGAGTCGGGCACTGTCATGTGGGCTGTGGACCTCCCAAACGGCTCTTACCAACCAAAGTGCCTCCTTACTGGGTTTTCTTGATGAATCGGCCATCGATGCAGATGTCTGTGTGTGGTGTTTCAGTTGTTTTTTTTTTTTTTAAAGATTTATTTTTATTATTTTTTCCATTGGAAATGAGGATATACAGAGAGGAAGATCTTCCGTCCGATGATTCACTCCCCAAGTGAGCGCAACGGCCGATGCTATGCCAATCCGAAGCCAGGAGCCTCTTCTGGGTCTCCCACATGGGTGCAGGGTCCCAAAACTTTGGGCCGTCCTCCACTGCTTTCCCAGGCCACAGGCAGGAAGCTGGAAGGGAAGCGGGGCTGCCGGGATTAGAACCAGCACCCATATGGGATCCCGGGTGTGCAAGGCGAGGGCCTTAACCACTTGCGCCACCGCGCCGGGTCCTGTGTTTCAGTTTTTAACCTTAAGATCCCTTTAGGCTTGTACTGGTATAGCCACACAATCTTTAGTTTTTTTCTGTTCTGTCCCTTTGAACGTTAGAGTATTTGCGTGTGAAAGAAGTCTCTAAGAGGTCGCTGAAGATTGAGTTTTTTGTTTGTTTTAGATTGCTCTACATTTGAACGTTTTGAAAATCTGATTTTATAATGCAGTTTCCTAGGCCCTGGGATGCCCCTTCTTCCCTCTCCCGTTGTCCTCCCCCATACTGATTTTCCCCTGTGTTGCAGCGGTAGGGTCCTTCATAAACTGTCCTAAGTCCATTTTGAAGTGCTTCTCTGCATTTTAGTTGGAGAGTTTAATGTTTTCATTTGTTCGTTTTTAAAATTTTTTAATTAATTAATTGATTAATTAATTTATTTATTTATTTTAAAGATTTATGTATTTATTAAATAAATATACAGAAAGGAATATACAGATATACAGAGAGGAGGAGAGACAGAGAGGAAGATCTTCCATCTGATGATTCACTCCCCAAGTCAGCGCAATGGCCGATGCTATGCCGATCCGGTGCCAGGAGCCAGGAACTTCTTCCGGGTCTCCCACACGGGTGCAGGGTCCCAAATTTTGGGCTGTCCTCTGCTATTTTCCCAGGCCACAAGCAGGGAGCTGGATGGGAAGTGGAGCAGCTAGGATTAGAACCGGCGCCCATATGGGATCCCGGCACGTTCAAGGCGAGGAGTTTAGCCTCTAGGCCACGCCGCCGGGCCCTAAAGTTTTTATTTAATAGCTAATAAGTGACTTATTTCTGCAGACCTATTATTTGTTATTCTACCTGCTTGCTGTTTCCTTTCTATGTGTGTTATCAAATTCGTGCTTGAAGAGTTTGCGTTGAAATTCTGTACGAAAGTGAAGAGTTTGTAAACCAAAAGTATTTTGTGTTTGACTTCTAGATTTATTTCTGTATTGATCTTATTGGTGTTTGCCTTTTTATTTATGTGAATTCACATTATACTCTGTTTTCCTTTTGTTTCAGCCTAAGTTAGATGCATTAATGACATTCACAAGGCAGAGAGACTAAAGGGAGAGAGAGAGAGAGAGAGAATGTGTGTGTGTGTATGTGATAGAGAGAGAGAGAATGTGACAGAATGCTGTTCCCTGTTCACTGGTTTATACTCCAAACACCCCCAGCAGCTGGAGCTGGGCCAGGTGGAAGCTGGGAGCTGGAAGCTGTCCAGATTCTCCATGTGGAAGGTTCCAGAATTCTTGAGCCATCACCTGCTGCCTCTCAGGATATGGGACGAAGCTGGAGCTGAAGCTGAGGCAGGACCCAATGGCAGGCACTCTAGTACAGGACCTGGACAGCCCAGGCAGTGTCCTAACCACTGCACCACACGCCCACCTTCCCGTCCCGCCCTCACCTCCCTCCTTTATTTGTGTAGGGCAGTTTGTCCCACTCGTTGCAAGTTTTTCTTAAGCATCTCAGTGTCTGAGGTGTGGATAAGGATGTCAGAATTCAGTGGCGGATGACACAGGCAGGCATCCAACCCTTAAGAGTGTTGTCCTTAAGCACTAAATGCCTGTTTCTTGCCCTCTCTTAGTATCCTCCGTAGTTAAAAGGTTTGGAACTGCCCACGCGTGCGGGTTTCAGGTACTATTTCCACCCTGCCACCCCAAATATTGAATGGAGGATGCTTGCTATTTTGTTTCTTAGGAGCGCTAAGTGATTCATTAGAGTTTATGCATAATGATTTTTGTTTTTACTGCTCCTGAGTTCCACTTTTTTTGCGTCAGCTCATCACCCTCCCAGTGTCCCTGCCTCACGAGTGGTTTTTTTTTTTCTCCGTAACTAGGATGTCGTGTTGCTAAGCCCAAACTGATAACCCAACTGGAGCAGGAAGACAGGGTCAAGACAGAGGAGAGAAGAATCCTCCCCAGCCCTCGTCCAGGTGAGCGCCCGGTACCTGTGTGAGGAATTAGTGAACTGCATTAGTTACTGTCCGTTGTAGTGCCTCCCTTTCCTGTCCCGTACTTTACTTTGGCTCCAAGGGCAATTAAATCCGTTTTATTGTTCATGTGCGTTGCTGATCATTCCTCCTGTTGACAACCCCTACAATCAATGTGTTTCTAGAATCCTTTCTTCTGAAAATTAATACCTAAAATTTCCATAGCCCTGTTGCTTTCATTGCAGACTTCCTCCAAAAACCAGCATCGCTCAGAATCTGCCATTGCGTGTATATTCAGCTTTCGCATCATAGGCCACCTCAATTTTTTTTTTTTCCCATTGATTCCAGATCCAGAGCCTGCTTTGAAAGCCAAGTGTTTAGCTCCTCGGAAGCATGGCTTTGAAAAAGAACAATCCAAAGGTGCCCACATGGTAAGACCAGCATGAACTGTTCCTGCTTTTCCACAGTAGGAAAATACAAATAAAGTGTCCTGTGCACTTGAGAACGTGGTATCCTGGAACAGGTACTGTGAAACTTTGGGGAGCTTCAAATTTGTGACTGTAAGTTAGCTCCAGATTTGTTTTTTTTGTTGTTGTTGTTGTTGTTTTGTTTTATGGGGTTTTTTTTCCATTTTTTGTTTCTTTTCTTTTTTTTTTTTTTTTTTAGTTCTAGATTTGTTCGCTGACAGTTCCCACTGGTAAATCGTTCCTTAAATGTAGCTTGGATATCGACTGTTCCCAAACAGATTGGCCTTAAACTTCTCAGAAAATGGTTTGGGCATATGGTAGAGACCGTGACAGAGCATCCATCATTTTTGCCCTCTATGTTCTCAAACTGGGCAGGGGTCCTATGTAAGCTCTGAACGTATCCAGAGCGTCATATAACGATGAACAGAATTCCCTGGGTGAGGGAACTCTTGGAACAGGCTTGCATATGTGAACAACTGGAAAGCGATAGTGACCATAAATCTCTTCATCAACAGGAAGGAAGTCACCGAGGGGCCAAACTCAACGAATGCAATCAGTGTTTTAAGGTCTTCAGTACCAAATCCAACCTCACTCAGCACAAGAGAATCCATACCGGAGAAAAACCCTACGGCTGCAACCAGTGCGGGAAATCCTTCAGCAGCCGATCTTACCTCACCATTCACAGGCGCATCCATAATGGGGAGAAGCCCTACCAGTGCCATCACTGCCGGAAGGCCTTCAGCGACCCCTCGTCGCTCCGACTGCACGTGAGAATTCACACCGGGGAGAAACCCTATGAGTGTAACCAGTGCTTCCACGTCTTCCGCACCAGTTGTAACCTCAAAAGCCACAAGAGAATTCACACCGGGGACAATCACCATGAGTGTAACCAGTGCGGGAAGGCTTTTAGCACCAGGTCCTCCCTCACCGGACACAACAGCATCCACACGGGGGAGAAACCTTACGAGTGTCACGACTGCGGGAAGGCCTTTAGGAAGAGCTCCTACCTGACACAGCACGTGAGAACTCACACGGGAGAGAAACCCTACAGGTGCAGTGAGTGCGGCAAATCTTTCAGCAGTAGCTTTTCCCTCACCGTGCACAGGCGCATACACACGGGCGAGAAGCCCTACCAGTGCAGCGACTGCGGGAAGGCCTTCAACAATCTCTCCGCTGTCAAGAAACACCTGAGAACTCACACTGGAGAAAAACCCTACGAATGTAACCACTGTGGGAAATCCTTCACCAGTAACTCTTACCTGTCTGTGCACAAGAGAATACACAGCAGGTGGATCTGAGTTGCCATGCGTGGTCCACGAGGAAGCCCTCCGTTGATTTCCCGCCCCTCAGAGACACCTGACAGAACTCGTGGGTGTTGGGAGTTAACCTGCCGCCAGATAACGAGTTCCCCTCCCAAACTGTGACATCAGCCCCTTAGTGTGTCAGAATGTCAAGAAGTTGGGAATTCGGGAACAGCTTGGGCCTAGAGTTCTGGCTCTGAGTCCACAACCGTGAAGTTGGCCTCAAGGTGTGAGCCAGAACTGCAGTCAACTGAAGGTTTCGTTGCCGAAGGGATCCACTGGAAGGTAGCGTCTTCAGCCTTTTCTCGTGCCCAACACAATCGGAGCTGGTTCTCTACAGAAGACCTTCCATGCCTCCTCGTGTCGGCCTCAGTAGAGCTGATTGACTTGCGTGATGGCAAGTTCCTCCCAGAGTGAGCCAAGAGAACGTGTGTGTGAAAGTCAGAGAGTCTCCCATGGTCCAGCCACCGACAGTCACGATTCCACCTGCGTGTTCGTTGTTTCGTCCCGAGACAGCAACTACTCAGGGCAAAAACACTGAGGGGTGAACATCATTTGAGAACTAGTGAGGGGAACCTGCTGTGAAACCGACGGAGAAGAGCTTTCAGCTCAGCCTCACTGTTTGAGGAATGGGATAGAGTCTTCCATAGCTGCCCTATTCGATCCGCTCTGCCAGGGGAGCCTTAGCAGTATGACATGCACGTCAGAGCTTTCCTCTCACACCGTGGCGCCCAAAGGTTGTGTCCTGGGGAAAAGCCGGAGGAGTAGAGTATCTATAAATGAGGCGATAACGGTGTCTTCCAGAGGAGTCACGTGACAGTTGACACTAAGAGAAAGAAATCCCTGAGAACATTGGCAGAATGCAGACGTGGGAAATCGCGCTCATGAGACGCACGGAAAACCTACAGCACAAACGGTCCCTTGAGTGAGCGAAAAGGTGCTGGGGTCATCTCACTGCGTTGAATATGGGAAAGCCTCAGATGATTGTCTTTTAACTTTTTTTTTTAAGAGTCTTTTTAAAAAGCAGGTATCTACTTGTTTTTGTTGTTACTTTTTGAAGAATGTGTTTTAAAAGCAGAATGTATGTATAGACACGTGTTTAAATAACATGGCTGGCCCTGGTAAGTGTTGTAGATTCAATGTATTGATAGTGACACGCAGTGCTGTGGCAAGGGGAGTCGTGACTCACAGGGTATGGTGCAAGAAGGACCCTCATCCACAGATGCTGTGTGACAGAAACAACCCTACGGTAATGATATGTACAGAATTCTAACTCTTCACAAGAGAAATGGCCCAGGACGTTGCCAGGAACCTACCTGCTCCTTGCCTTCAGTGTTGCTGGTAATTGCCAGAGAGAGAACTTGGTGAAAAAATTGGCCAGGGATGAAGGACTAAACCAAGAGGAAAAACTCCCAAGAAGTAGGGTTAACACAAATAAATGTGTGTTCGTACACTCATATACCCCCCACAAAAGGACACCACGCAAAGAATAGAATTGTACCCAATTGAGCAAAAAAGGAATTCCCAGCCTCCCTGTTGCTTCTTTGGCATGAGCCAGTCCACCTCAGTCATTGACACACACAGATTTTCATTCAGTATGATAAGGGCACGCTGGGTTAAAGTGTATATGTGATGTACCTTTTTATGATTGGAACATTCCTAAATCACAACTTTTTCAAAAAAAAATCTGCTAATTACCAACTGCAGATACAGAGGCCCAAATCATTTTTTTGGGGGGAGGGGGGTCCATACCCCAAAGTAGAAGGTAGTCAACATTTTCCTATAAGATGGAGAAATCAAACAGGCCCCTGACATCGGTTTAGCAAGTAGATTTGGGGGGATCAAGATCTTAGGGCACAAATGCTAAAACTTGTACCTACTGCTATAAGCCAAGTTTTGGTAGATTTAGTGTGGCTATAACCAAGTCGCTACGGACGCACACCACTGGATGGTCTTCCATCTTTCACGCCTGTTCATGTCTTATAAGTTAGGTCCAGCGTAATGGAATTTTTAGCCGAGATTTGCTGTTGGGGGTCATCAGTAGCCCCATATTTGGTGAGACTCCTGTGCAAAGAAAGAAACTACCAAGAAACTTGTGAAAATCAAGAACTAGAGCCGGCCTATTCAGTGATGCCTCTTAACGGTAAAAACAGGAAGATCCTTTTCTGGAGGAAAATCCAGTGAGTATATTCATTTCGGATAAATTCTTAATCCGCTTTGTGTTGTAGGTGTGAGTACGCATGCTCATGGAAAATCCTAGGGATGCAGGCAGTGTTAGGGTACCTCCCCCTCAATTCTTCCTCAAGTAGCTGTAAGGTGATTATCGCAGGGACTGAAGCCCCTGGATGTAGCAGTGTCGGATTGCTTTGTCCCTCTCATCTGCAGCGTGGAACTCTGGTTCATTCATTCTGCCTTTGCTTTCCACGCATGGCTATAACTACTGCCTGAAATTAACCTCCATTTCAATTCATGATTTTAACAACCTGTTGTGATTCTCTCTCTCTCTTTTTTTTTTAAAGCTATTTTGGAATAACTCCTGAATGCTTTTGATTTGGGGGTATTTTTCCCAAATTCTATGAACTTCTTTTTTGTTCTTCCTGTTCTAACATGGCAGATACTGTAAGTCTGTTCACTATGATTCACTCTCCCTTGCTCATTTATTTAAAGAAAGAAAGAGAGGTTATTCCAGTTGTCCATGAACAGTATTGAAAATAACTTTTTCCAGGGTTTTCCTGAAGCTAACCCAGGTGTTGTTGCACGCTGCTAGTCCTAAGGAGTAGGTCAGTCAGTGATGGGGGCGGGTGGACACAAGACTTTTTCTCTGTTTTTTCATTCTTTTGCATGTGGTCTCATAGTCTAGAATCTGAAGAGCCATTTTTTGGACCACGGTGACAAAAGCCACAATCCACTAAGCAGAAGAAAGTCAGTGGTTTGCATTCCTCAGAAGCCTCTCATGAACTAGCAGCTCCAGGTTGCTTCTGTGATTAAGGACAATGCATCATCGACTTAGTTCAACCCCAAGTAATGCGCAGTTCACTTTTCTTAAAAATTTTTTCATTTTGACAGTCTTTCCATAGTTAATTAGGGTAAAAAGGTTCAAGGGCTACAGAAAAGTGGGTAAGACTATTATTTTTTCCATATTGTTTCCTTCATGTTTAAAGGGGGGTGTTAAGGGAGAAGGCCCACCCAATTTCCCACCCTCCCCAGGTCCCGGATGTAGGGTATGCTCTGAGGTTCTTGCTCAAGTGGTTTTGATATTTCAACAGTTATGAGTCACTGCCAATCTTGCCACTCCAAGCGCTATGAGGTCCTTGAAGAATCCACGGATTATGACAGTCCATCCTATAGCTGAGATGGTTGGGTGACCTGTTCCGTCTTCTCTCTTTTCTTGGTTAGGGTTCTGAGTCCAGCATTTTGATTGGGGAGATCACCAAAGAAACTTTGTCTGAGAATCAAACCAGATTCTTGTGTGTACTAGCAAGTACAGGGCCCGGCACAGTCCATCGTCCTGATCAGCTGGTGGTTGCAATTGCTGGGTTGGTTCTGTTTTCACTTCCGACTTCCACTGGAACCAATGGATGTTGCAGTCCAGCCTGGTTCTGCCCAGCACATACTTGGCCCTCACATAAACCAGTGGGAGCTGCAGCCTAGTTGGAGCTAACCACAATAACCCCCACTAGGCCCGCCCCCTACCCTGGTTTGCCAGTATGTGTAGCAGTAATCCAGTCAGGTTCACTTTTGAGTTGATGTAGCAGCAACTTTCAGCTAAATGGAGTAAACGATAAACCTACTTATTTTATCCATGTTTCATGTTTCTTTGAAAAGAATGCATATTCTCTGCTACTTGGACACAGTACGTGAACACAGCCTAATTGTGTTTTCAAATATAGTTTGTGTATTCTATTTCTTTAGTTAGCAATGGAGGTTGTGAAATTTTCCACTATGGTTACACATTAACGTTCTTTCTGTAATCCTGTTCTATTTAATTTATATATTGTATGTGCTGTATCCACATACAAGATTAGATATTTTCATATGATTTCTTCTTTGTGAAGGGACCATGTTTTTACATAGAAAAAGATATAATACATGAATAAGACATAGTGAAACATTTATGCAGCACCTCTCATATACTAAGCACTCTTCTAATTCCATATGAAGATTATTGACTATCTATTGTTGTACTATTGTTATTATAATTAACCTATTTTGTGATCCTGTATAATAATATGTACATCCAATATCCCTATTTGATGAATGAGAAAGTGGGTATGCTGTAGTTCAGTTACCTGCGTGAGTTTACTGGGTTATAACTGATACAATCCAGAATTGAAACCCTAGTTGACTAATAGGAATGTTCCTATTAGTCTAATATATTTCTGTATGTCAAGTGAAGACCTATCATGAAAACACTTCATCCTGATTAAGGTGAGACAGACATTAAAGAATTTTAAAATACATATTCTGTAAAACATGAAAATACTTAGAGATAACTAAGGGGGATTGGAAATATAATTTCATATAGAACAGGAAAGGGGCAAAACTCAGTGAAGCCCATTTGATCAGAGACCTGAGTGGATGGTACAGTGTACCATGTGAAGTTGTGTGCTTAAACCAGTCTTAGCATGCAGAGGGTCAAAACCAGCAACTGCGACTAGAGTAGAAGAGCTGAGGAGGGATAGGTTGTGTTATAGTCAGAGATATGACAGCTCCTAATCTTGCTGGGCCTTATGGATCATTGCAGGGATGTAATTTTCAATGAGTTGGCTGATCAGAGTCCCAGGAGGGAATGGTTGACACCATCTGACTAGGACAATTCAGGTAGAACTTTCATAAAGGGGTTACAGAGTTGTGAACAGGATACAGGCAAGTCTCAAAATGTAGTGAAGTACTCAGTAGCTTGTTGATATTCAAACTCTGATGATATTAGGTGAGGGAACAATTGCCCAAATCTGGAAATGACAGGGTGACATTCCAGGAGTTTTTTGGGAGGTCATGTGGCAGCCAGTGCTAGATTTTTCAAGATAGAGTGAAGGCAGACTGCACACTCCATCCTTATGGAGTCAAAGCCTGGGCTTCCCCATAGGTAGAACCCAAACCAACATCCACGGCCAGAGAGTTAGCCTTCCTAGATATGGCAGGGTAGAGAAGGTGAACCACTAGTAAACGAGCTGAAACTAACCAGGAGTAGGTACCTTTTTAAAGCCTTAAAATCTATTCTTCTCAATCACCTGGGTGAAAAGTTCCATATGCCTTAGAGGAATTCTTGCCAGCTCATTGGCTGTCCTAGGAGCCTCTCAAGTGTGTTAATGCTTCCATTTGAAGCCTAAAGTTTTTACAACTAATACCAGTGTTCCTACACAGGATGGTAAATAAGACTCTAGGAGGAAAAGTGCAGCATATAAGCCCGAAACTTTGGATCGAGAGGAGGAACGCTTTGACCAGGTAACCTGGTGGAAGAGTTCTGTTGAACTTTAAGCCATCATGGTTGCCATACTAGCGTATGTTAATATGCCTTACCATCATGAGTTAATGTTACCTGAATGAAGTGGGGCTGTTTTTAATTCCTTGGGGGCAGGAAGGAGAACATTTGATATTCAAATCTTTCTCTAATTAGTTCTCTTGATGTACTTCATACTTTAATTTTTTATGGTAAAGGGAGCAACTGGGTCCTAAGAAAGGCATGGTGAAGATGGGCTTGGCTAGATCTTGGCTCCCACTGAACCACATGACAACTGAGTCAGGGGTGTGAACCAGGGGTCCCTGGGATGAAACACCCAACAGTAAGAACCAGAATGGTTGTGGGCTGGTTGGGCGTGGCCATTGTTCTTGCCAGGACAAGAAGTGGACTCAGCCTGGGCCGAGGACACACTGTTGTGCTTAAGATCTGTCACTGGGAAGAGAGCTGATAGAGGAGCTTGGGGAAACTCCTTTGTCAGGACTGAGTCCCTAAAGTGAGCAGAAGAATGAAGGCAAGTAGTCTAGACCAGGCCTGGTTACAGTACTTGCAGGCATACATGTGCGAATGCCAGACTGGGTCAGTACATAACACCTACTGGCAGATCTGAGAAGAAGCATGGAGTGCAGGACAGGCTGGTTTGGGCAGCAGCACCCACCAGCAGGAGCTAGAACTGGGGACAGACCAGGCTGGCCAGGCTAAAGCCCCGAGTGGCATATGCAGAGCTGAGCAGTTCATACAAGACTGGTCTGTACACGTGAGGCTCTGAGGTGAGCTTGATTGAGCCTGGTAGGGGTTCTGTGGGGACTTCCCTGATTTGGATCACTGTTCCTGCTGCAGAGTGTGAGATCTGCCCCTGTGGCAGACAAGGCTGGGCAGAGCAATAACTGCACATGACCCACATGTGAACTGGTTTAGTGGGAGAGTCAGACTGGATTAATTGACTGCATCCACTGATGGAGGCATGGCATGAACCAGAGTAAGTCCATGGGAACC